TTTATATGATCAGATATACATAGGCATTGTGCCTCTGAGTTCCTCTCCCCTAAGAATATCCTCCTTTGCTCTTGCTGTATGTGAATGTTTACAGTCCTGTAGCTATGTTGGTTTTTAACTGGAAGGATCTGTGGAGAACAGTTGTAACTTCTTTGATCACCCAGGTGCCCAAGGATGGGTGTGATTGATGCAAGGTGTCTTCACTGGGATTGTAAATGCTAAACTCAAACAAGTTTGATGGTGCCTGAGCCATGGGGATTTTACATGGTCATCTTCATCTACCTAGTGTTTAAGAGAGTTGTTGGAATTAGATTCAGAGAAATTAATTTTTCTCCCCTTATTTCCGTGTGTATTTATTTTGGGATTACATTGATAAATCGATAGTAGCAGTAGGTCTGAAATAAATGTCACGGTTTTCTCTTTTATGTCTGACGCCCTTTCCTTTACTGGCTGGCCTGTGCTTCAGGATGGCTCGTATTGATTAGCTGATGTCAAATAAACTTTTGTTGGTCTATGAAAATCCAATGTTGGCAGTGCCAAAATAAAATAAATGCATCTGGCTTGTCATACTGGTAGGAAGGGGAAACGTAGGAACAGGAGATGGATGGTTGAAATGCATTGTCTACAGAAGTCCTGTGTACTTGTTCACAGACAGGTAGGGAGGGCCGGGAGCTGGTGAACTTGGTTTCCTCGTCAGTCATGTGGATACCACAAGAGGACCAGGTGGCTGCGTTATTCTGACACTTCACACATGTCAGGTTCTCTGCAGTGGAAGCCCTCAGAAAGGCAACTTTTCTTTTTTTTTTTTTTTTTTTTGGTCCGGTCGTGGGGCCTGAACTCTGGGCCTGGGTGCTGTCCCTCAGCTCTTCAGCTCCAGGCTAGCGCTCTACCACTTGAGCCACAGAGCCACTTCCGGCTTTTTCTTTTTGCTTATATGGTGCTGGGGAACTGAACCCAGGGCCTCAGACATGCAAGGCAAGCGCTCTACCACTGAGCCACCTTCCCAGCCCAGAAAGGCAACTTTTCTATGTCACTTAGGTTGATGAAAATCTCATGCCTCCAAGATCCAGTGTGTATACAATGGGAGAAATTCCACTAAACTCTACTAAATCACTCTGCCTAGGAGATCATTTAAGTACAAATGGCTCTTGTGGTGAATTCTCTGGTTGTCCATTTCCAATCATGGATATTGTTTCCCCTGTTACCGCTATAGTATAGGAGTTGGTCCTTCACCACAGTGAATGAGGCATGTCAAACCCAGCTGAACCATACTGTGTGACACACTGTATGTGACACACCATATGATTTATGCGCTCTCTCTCTCTCTCCCTCTCTCTCTCTCTCTCTCTCACACACACACACACACACACACATTGATCATAGTATTGGAGTATTCTAAAAACTTTCCAACATTTTAATAAATGATTGAGGAGGAAATGTTAAAATGTAACATATTGGACTCAGTACTTTGGTGCTGTTTGGATGTGGTGAACTTGTGTGGTTTTAAAGCAGGAGCTGTGGCCTGGAGCTGTCATTTATCAGCTCATAAGCAAGTTTTCAAATCAGCTTTAGGAAAATAGTTTAGATGTACACTTTAATAATATAGCAAAGTGTGGGTGGTTTGAACCTTACATAAGAAGGCCTTCCTGTACACAAATAAGAAAAAAAATGCTGTTAGACTAGAATTTATCCCAGCATAAAAGAAAAGGAGGTGGGGAGGGAGGAAAGGAGTGAGAAGAACTCAAAGTGATTATTAAAAATGTAATAAAGAGTCAAAATGAAAATATGCAACTTTTCAAGATTGTGAGGTGAAAGCAGTAGTCACTAATAATCGTTGAACAGTTTAAAAATATTTTTACACTGACAGATATCATGTGTGATATTCTCATGTATAGTATATGTTGAAATAAATAAACATTGTGGAATAGTTAAATCTACTTAATTAACACATGCTTAATCACACATAGCTATTATTTTTGTAGTGAAATTCGATACCTCCCCACCCCCAGCTCCTATTCAGCATAGAGCTAGAATTACAAGTCAGAGCAATTAGACAAAAGAAAGAAATGACAGTTATATATACAGGAAAGAAGGAAGTCAAGTTATTTGTAGATGATGCACTTTTATGTACAGAAAAATCCTAATGATGTCACCAAATAAATGGTGAGAACTACTAGATAAATTCAGCAAACTTAGATACAAGTCCAATATGATAAAGCACTGAAACAAGGACACAGGATGACCCATTGCAACCATGATAACCACAATACAGTATATTGGAAATGAACTTTACAACTTTGGGGGGAGGGGAGGAGTGAGGGAGTTGGGAGAGGGAAGGGATAGTGGGAGAACAACAAGGGAGAGGGTAACAATGCTCAACAAGAAATGTACTCATTGCCTTACTCATATCAGTGTAACCCCTCTGTACAGCATCTGTACACGAAAATAAAATTGGAAAAATGTGTAGCATCTCTACCTACAGTCCTCAACAACAAATTGCCTTTGACTCTGTGCAACACTGAGAATTGAACCAGTGCCTTGGGCATGCTAGGCACGCTCTTCTACCACTCGGCTACATCCTCAGCCTTTGTTCTGCTGGCACAGGTTGTCATGATATGGAGCTCCCCATCCGTCTGCCTCAGTCTCCCACATGCTGGGCTTACAGGAATATACCACAGCACCCCACTTGGATGTTCTTTTCATGTGTTCAACAGGAAAAAAAAATGGAAAACATGACTTCCTCTCAATCATTCACTGTTCAGATCTGCATTTTCAGTCCAGTGTTTGGTGTGACTGGTTTTGATGTGTCCAGGCAGAGAGCTGTTTTTTGCCCGAAGAGCTATCATAGTGTTCATTGATCAATTAATGTCATACATACACAAATATTTGTCTGAGCCAGGCCTGCTCTTTGGTTAGGCACATTGGTAACATTGGGCCATATGTGGAGTCCATCATGCCAGACACAATCCTCAGAAACATGCTAGTGTCAGCAGACTACACAGGTCAGACATGAGCCCAGCGCCTGTAGAGGCCTGGGGACTGTGTCTCCAAGACAGTTTACAAAGCCGATGGATAGGCGTGGCCAGACCGACCTTCATGCATAAGCCTGAGGATGGGTCAGATCCGGGAGTAATGGCTCCCTTCAGTCAGCTCCTGAAATGGATGCAGAGTCACTCCAGCCCAGATATTTCTCGCCCTGTGCCACTGGCTTCACTTCAATGCAACTGCCGGAGATTGAACTTGCGTGTTATTTTCTTTTCCTTGAAATGTGACGTGACTAAGGATGATCCTGTGTTTCGATCTTTAACTGGGTTTCCAGCCCTGGGTTATAAAAAGTGATTTAGCTGAGCCCATAGAGCTTGAAGAAGTTCCTCCGCCCATCCCAATAGGTTGACATAGTTGGTCATTGGGAACTTAACCTTCAGTCTTGAGGTAGGCAAGGTGCACCTCCACTGTCTTTCCCCCTGCTGTGATTGGCAAAGTCTGCTGAAGAATTAACCTCACCTAGTACTTGATTTTTATTGCAGAATCATGTCAACCCTGCCATGGACTTCACCCAGACTCCTCCTGGGATGCTGGCTCTTGACAACATGCTGTACTTCGCCAAACATCACCAAGATGCGTATATTCGGGTAAGCAAGATTAGAATTCTAATCTCACACCTACAGGTACAGAGGTATTTGCTTTAGATGTGCAACTCCAGAGTTTTTGCCCCCATCCAACTAAAAAAAATTTAAATTTACCATAATTGATCTGGTAGTATGTAATAGGGATTTTTTTTAACTTTTGGATTTCTCCCTTCAGTGATGTTTAGAAAATTTTGTTAATATCAGGAAAATCTTTTAGATAGATTGCTATTGAGTTATGAAGAAAAAGGACATTTTAAATAACCAGGAAAAGAAACGAAGTGTTTACCAAAAATGTGCACAACCTTGGATTTCATGGAGAGCTCTTTAGACATATTAAAGTTAGAAAGAAGGCTCCAGTTCTTTCTAGCATGATGTATTCTTCTATGTCTCGTGCTAAAAATGCAACCAAGTAAATAAAAAGCAAGAGGAAAATGGGAGAGGTGGGACGAGAGAAACTTCCCATATTTCCTAGCAGAGTAGTCACGCTCCACTGACCAAGTTGTCTTAGCGGTGTGGGGCAGGAGAAAGGGGAGGCCATTGCTGCTCCTGTGAAATAGCAGATCCTTCCTATGGACTGGGTGGCCCCCTGTGGGGAGGGCAAAGCCTGAGTGTGGAGCCTCGGGTGCCAGTGACATAGAAGGCTTGTCCAGCAGGTGGCACAGCTGGGAGCCTGAGATTCATGATGCTGCCTCTTCTCTGCCTTCTGGGAGAAGAGCCAGGATGCAGAATGGATCCAAGGGAGATCCGGGAGGGGGATACACAGATGGAACAAGGGCACTGCCTCATGGACGAGCTACCCTCATAATTATGTAGAAATGTAGGAAGCATTTGATGAATGCATTGCCCCCAAATTAGAATCTGAGCTCAAAATCAGATTTGATCATTCCAGCATGAACTCCGACATTGTCTCCTGCTCGGTTCTTTGTGGAACTGGCTTCCTAGAGATCAAAGTTTAAGACTTGAACTGTCCCTGACTCATTGCCTCAACCTGGGCAATTCCTCTTGTCTGGAATATTGGGAGACTTGAAGGCTTGAAGCTAGGACCACATTTCCCCAGTGGCATGTTTGAAACTTGGTGGGCATTATTTTTTGGGGGGGGGGGGTACCATGTCTAGCAGGGAATTAATGGTTACAATCTGTAATACAGGGGATCACCCTGCAATGTGTGTGTGTGTGTGTGTGTGTGTGTGTATCTACCTAAGTAGACAGGTAAACTGACTATATTTTCTCTCTCCCTCCCAGCTTATTCCATTCTACAAGTTATCATTGTGTGTAGCTGAATTGTGTGCTATTGCCAGTAGCATGTCTAATTTTACTAGCAAAATTGAAGTTCAAACCTACAAGGGACTTTCTGTGGTGAGGCTACAGTTAGCCGCATGGTAAGGCAAGGTCCCCCTGTCCATGTGTTCTCCCATGCACCTGGGTCCTGCCTGTTCTCAGATATTCTCTTCTTCCTAGTCCTCACAGCACCTGTGATTGCCCACAGCTGGCCCAATGGAAGAAGGGCAGTTTGGCTTCTTTCCTGCATTTAGTAGCATCTCTCGCCTGACCTGGCTGGTATCCCTGTTGGGTGAGCTTTCTCTGGTGTCTGCCACTTTGGAAGAGCAAGAAGAGGAGCAGTATATGCAAATGACTGTGCACCTAGAGACCAAGGACAGATGGTAACTCCTGAGAAACCTGATGAAAAGGAGACTTCGGGCTGTGTCCATTGTATACAAGGGTGACAACAGAGAAAACCCCAAGGGACACAGCCAGTTGTCCCAGTGCAGCAGAGCTGACAGCTTGCAAAGACTAGAAATTAGTCCCACTTGTGTTGCCTCCATTGTCCAGTAAGTGAATAGTTGCTTACAGAATTGAAGCATGTTGCTGAAGTCTTTACTGTATACTTCTTTATTTGCATACTCAATTTAGAGATTGGCCTCTCACTGCATTTCCCAGGAGGATCCTGATGTAGTTGGCTCAAGTGATCCTCATGCCTCAGCCTCCCCAGTAACTGGGACTCTGGGCCTGCACCCCTGCTCCCAGCTCCCTTCATGTAGCTTTACGGATGAGGAAATGGAGGTGTGAGAAACATCTTGCCATTCTGCAATGCCTCATATCTGAAGGCATGATAAACATTCTGAGATAGATCAGACTGTTTATATTACCTAAAGTTTATTTGCATCCAATGACTCTTAGCTATCCTAGCCTGTGAATGCAGTCCTGGCTTCTGATGGTGCCAGGGAAGTGAGTGTTGTGCCTAGGTTGCAGGACCCCTACCAAGAAGACCACCGAGAGTCAACTTTACAGCTGTTTTGAGGTTTTATTTAGGCGGGCTGCAGCTCGGGCCTCATCCTACACTCTGACACAGCGGAGCCTAGGAGGAGAGCCCCAAGTTAAGGATTTGCAGGTCTTCTAAAGGCATACAACCAGGTGGGTTAGCACCACGTATTGCTCTGCTCTGAAACGAGCAACAAATGGTCACTGCCTCAAGTACTTTAACCCTTCAGTGAGCATTCGCATGTTTCCAGTTATTTTCTCCCTCCCTCCCAGCTTATCCCATTCTACAAGTTAGAACGAGACACTTCAGCTCAAACATGGCATCTGTCTGGAGCTTATCACCACACATTAAGAGCTACCGATAACTGTTGTCTTAGGACAGAATTCCTTAAGTTACCTTCAGACAGTGTAGTTGAGTGAATGAGAACACAGGGTGATCATGAAAGTTGCCCATCAAATGCCTAGAAAAGCTGGGGTCATCCTCCAATCCCTGCTGTACAAATGCAGTAGGAGGCAATGTCACAGGAGCACCATGGCCTGACCTTTAAAAAACAAGTAATTGATTTTATTGTATTGTAAAGATGCTGCACAGAGGGGTTACAGTTACATGAGTAAGGTAATGAGTACATTTCTTGTTGAGCGTTGTTACCCCCCTCCCTTGTTGTTCTCCCACTATCCTTTTCCTCCTCCACCTCCCTCACTCCTCCCCCCACCCTGAAGTTTTAACATTCATTTCCAATATACTGTCTTGTGGGATCATTGTTGCAGTGGGTCCTCTGGTGTCCTTGTTTCAATATTTTGTTATTCCCCTTACCCTCCCCAAAGTAGAGAAATGTATGTACAAGATTCAGGGTACCAAAATCAAATGCAGTGACAACAGGGGAAGAACATAGAAAGGAAACCAAAAAATCACATTGTACTTTAAAATTACAACAAAGAAACATCACTTTTGCCCATATCTTGGGGTTCATTTCACTTAACACCATCTTATATGGTCATATGTAAATAGGTTTGAGAGGTTTTCTGCTCACCTGATAAAATTATCCTAGCTATATAGTAATTATTGCAAGTGAGGGAAACCGTGAGATGTCTTTTTCTTTGGATCTCACTTACTCCACTTAATATGATTTTTCCAGGTCTTTCCATTTCCTAACAAATGGGGTGGTGACATTCTTTGTAAGCAAAGAATAAAATTCAATTTTATGTACATATATATGTGTGTGTGTGTGCGCACACGTGTGCGTGTGTGTGTGTGTGTGTGTGTGTGTGTACCACATTTCCTTAATCCATTGATCTACTGAGGGGCATCTGGGTTGGTTCCATATTTTAGGTATTATGAATAATGCTGCAATAAAGATAGTTGTGCTGGTAGCTTTACTATGGCCTTGTTTGTGATCACTTGGGTAAATGCCCAGAAGTGGGATCCTCATATATTACCCTGCCCCAGAATGGCCTGGCCTTTTCCAGTATTTTCTGACTCAGTCTTTGTACTGATTCACTGAAGGGGCAACTGAGACTCAGCAGGTAAGAGACTTCACAAGGAAGTGGTTAGGCTTTCCTTGTCTATAACAAGTGACTGAGAGAAACTGTTTCAAGGAGGAAAGTGTGTTTTGGCTGGCTTCCGGCCTCTTCAGTCCAGGCTCGGTTGTGATAGGCTTGTGGTGAGTCAGACATCATAGCATCAGGAGTGAGCAATGACAGAGGCTGCTTTCCTCATGCAGCCAAAGCAGGCTTCCAGTACAGGCAGGGATGGCCAGACATGCCCCCAGTGGCCTATTGTACTAGGACGGAACTGCTAAGGTTTCAGTACCTCCCCCAGCTAGGTCCACAAGCAAAGGACCAAGTCTACATTTCCTACTCAATCACAAACTGATAGAAGCTCTGCAATTCACCTCAGTTGCCTTTCTTCAGCCCTCACGCTGTGTGCATTCTCCCCAGCCATGCTGGAAGCACACAGAAACAAGTACAGACCACCAGTGGTACTGTCTGCACCTTGTCACAGTCCTCACATGCCATAGGGAAGATGTGTTGCCTGCACTTACTCCCAAACCCTAGTCCCTCCTAATTCAGTGGCTGTGCTTAAATTTTGTAAAAGTGTGCATTCAGAGTTTGTTCAAGACCAACTCATGTGAATATCCAGTATAGAAGTAGTGACAAAAACACCTGTGTCTAGGTCCTCAGGATGCTGTGGAAGGACGATCTCAGGCCTGTGCTCTGCCTGGTTCTTCAGGACTTGCTCAAAAATGGCCACCTCAGCCATGCCTACAGACAGGTGCTGACATGCTGACACAGGTGTGGATGTGGTTGGACAGCTTCCTGCAAAGAGAAGAATGACCTGTCAGTGCCCTGGTTGGGGAATATTTGCATCTGTAAATATTCCTGAGTGATGCCAAAGAGGAGCCCCTTCAGTGAGCCCAGGCCTGGCTCTGTGGGACTGGATGGCATCAGTTGCCGTACACACTCAGATCATGAATGGACCAGATCCTTCCTTTAGGACAGAATTTACCTAGGAAAATGTTCTCACTACTGCACAGGCACACATCACAGCTCTTCCCTACTATCCGGAGAGAAACAACCCACAGAAAGGGGTCACAATTTGGAGAATTGACGTTTTTCCTACTTGGATTGTAGGTTTTCACGAGCTCTCATGTGAGTTTCAGTGGGAAACAGAATGGAAACAAAGGGGTCTGCTTTGGACCCAAGAGTTGGTATTTTCTGGCATGATTGGGTTGAGAGAGTCATGAGAATGTGAGGAGAAGAACACTAAGAATTCTTCCTCACCAACTGCTCACACTGCGATGAAGAAATTTGCACCAATTGCAGGTGGTACTTGAATTGCCTGTCTTCCCTGTGTGAACCCCCTGGAAGGATCGGTAAAATGCCAGGTAAAAAGTCCTGACCAGCCTGGTACTGGTGGCTTTGCTTCCTTCTGACATTCTCGCTATCCAGGTGGTTGAGCTCTCAAGACTCCATTTGAACCCTGTGCCTGCAGGGAAGTCCAGGAGACTGTTATTTCCAAATCAACACCAAAAGAGCCATATGTGGAGCTGTATTGAAGTGATAGAGAGCACTAACCTAACCTTCAGTACATAGGCTTAGAGACAGTGCCCAGACCCTGAGATCAAGGCCCAGAATGATCACAGAAGAAAAGGCCTGAATGACAAACTTGTTTCCACAAAAGTTATTGAGTCCATTCTGCTATCCAGGGGCCAAATATGTCAAGAGTAGATGGCAGCAAAGTTGGAAACACAGTTCACAATGGCCTGCAGTGTGATGGACATTTGGATGTCACTGAGTGACCACATTGATCCACCGCTGCAAGGAAGGAAGCTGGGTGGGTGCACAGTGAGGCCATGTCTGTAGAAGGTGGGCCAGCCTCCCCACCTGCTCCCCACCATGCGCTGTCTAAAATGAGGCTTACTCTTGTCTTTTTGCAATCTGCTAACCTGGCTTGAGGAGAAAGGGCCTGGCTTCCAGAAAACAGACATTTAAGCTTCCATTTCAAATCCTGATCCCTGGAGAATGTACCAAATAGAGGTGTCACAGAGGTCATTTTCCAGAATGAGCAAGATCTGTTTGTGCAGAAGTTCTCGGGGCAGGTCTCTGAGAAGGGACTGGCTGCAGAAAGGAAGCATGTCCTGCACTACCTGGTGCTGGCAGAGGGGGTCTAGAGCTGCTGCTGTTTGGAGAAGTAGGAGAGGAAGCGGTGGGCACCGCCAGCACTGCATCACAGTTGGATGTTCTCAGCTGCTTGCCTCCATTCTTACCATTAAACATGTTGGAGAAAGAGGATGAGGATCTTGTTTTTTTAATCCAGCTAAACAGTCTATGTCACTTAATTGAAGAGTTAAGTCCGTTAATGTTGAGAGATAGGACTGAGAGGTATTTGGGAGTTCCTGCCATGTAATCCACCTTCTTGGGGGCTGCAGCTACTAGGTTCCTCCTATGGTTCTTGGATTCTCAGTTTGGGTGCGGTTTCTTGGCCTTTATTGTGGTCTTGTTGGTTTTCTATGTGTAGGACATCTTTCAGAATTTTTTGTAGGGGTGGTTTGGTGGAGATATATTGTTTCAATTTTTCTTTGCTATGGAAGGTTTTTATTTGGCCTTCAGTTATGAAGGAGAGTTTAGCTGCGTACAGTATTCTTGGTTGATAGTTGTTTGTCTTTAGGGCATGGCATACATCATTCCAGGCTCTTCTTGCTTTGATTGTCTCTGCTAAGAAATCTGAGGTGATTCCAATTGGTTTCCCTTTATAGGTGATTAATCTTTTTTCCTTGACAGCTTTAAGGATCTTTTCCTTGGTCTGAATTGATCCTGTGTGGATTATACTGTGACGGTTGGATGTCCTATACTGGTCTGGTCTATTTGGGGTTCTAAAAGCTTCTTGTATCTGAATAGGCCTATCTTTTTGCATGTTTGGGAAGTTCTCTGCTAGGATCCTGTTAAACAAATTTCCTAGACCATTAACTTCTGTTTCTAGATGCTCCTCTACACCCATTATCCTCAATTAGGCCTTCTGATGGTGTCTTCCAAGTGTTGGATAGATCTATCATATTTCTTGGACTTGTCTTGGATGGTTGTATGTTCTTTCTCTATAATATTAGGCTGTCTTCAATCCCCGAGATTCGATCTTCTGCATGGTTTAACCTGCTGTCAAGACTTTCTACTTTGTTTTTTATTTCTTTTCCTTCTAATTGGTCAGCTTTGATGGCTTCAAATTCTTTGTTGAAGCTTTGTTTTAGATCTTGTATGAGCTTCTTTATTTCCTTAATTTGGTGTTCAGTGTTTGTTCTCAAATCACTTAGTTGATTGGTTATGGTTTCCTTGGACTCCCATTCCTTCTGTTGGGTTCCATTCAGCATTCCCTTTGTGGTCTCCCTGACTTCCTTCAGCTCTTTGTTAGTGGATTTCATGAATGCCTTTAGTGTTCTTTGTGTATTCTCATCCTGCTCTCTCAATTCCTGTATTACTCTTTGCTTAGCTTCCTCACGTTCAGGCCATTTCTGTAGTTCTCTTTGAGTGTTCTCAGCCTGCTCACGCCATTCCTGCCTTTCTCTTTGAGTGTTCTCACTGCTCTCGCAAATCCTGTATCAGTTTTTGAGTAGCTTCCTCACGCTCATGATATTCCTGTATAAACCTTTGGTTTGCCTCCTCTCTCTCCCTATCACGCTCATACAGAGTCCTTTGTATGTTTTCAATCTTTTCATTTACCATGTTTGCCAGCAGTGTTTATAGAGCTATTTGGGAACTCTCCTCTGGATTATTCATTATCTGTTCTGTCCCCTGATTATCATGAGTGGGAGTTGAGATACCCGGACTTGCCATTTTCCTTGTGTTTTTCTGGCTTACTCTGCCCATTTAGGATGAAAATAACACCAGTTTTGCGCTAGAACACTATCCTAAGGCAAGCATCAACCAAAGTCTGTATTTGCACAGTCAATAGTCTGCAGATACAGTCTAGTTCGACAGATACATCTATTCAACATCAAACAACTATATATTAATGGGCTACGAAGAATGGGCAAAGAAGAATTTGGCAAACCAGAAATTATTAGGTTTAGGGAGAGGTGTGGGTAAAAATAGGAATAGAGAGATATGGAAAGGCACAGGGAGAGTTAACTAAGTCCTACTCTCAAAGCAGGAAATACGTTGGATAGGATGAAAGAAGAGAGAGAGGGGAAAAAAGAAGAAAGAGAAAGGGGGAAAAAAGAGACCCAAAAAAATAGACAAGTAAAAATTAAAAATTAAAAATTATACATATTTGAAAATGAAATATTCAGAGAAGATTGTGGATATGATGAGAAAAGGGGAGGGATATAAAGGAGATGTGACAAACTTAAAAATAAAACTACTTAAAATATTGTGTAAGTATAGAGAGGTAGTACGGCTATTAAGAAATTTAAGTCTAAGAGGTTTTGAATTGAGTAATAAATTTCTGGATTAAGTGTGTACCTCCCCCACAGCATAACCCGTGCTTTCACTGTATTTGATGTCGGTATAATTTGTGGAGGGGAAGGGGAAAACCAAGTCGTTTAAATAGGGATAGAGGTGGACCCATCGCAACAATGAGAAGTACAAGTCGTTATGTCGAAAACGAACTTTACAACTTTGGTGGGGGGGCAGGGAGGATTGGGGGGGGCAGGGGGAGGATGGGAAGGGATGGGAAGGGGAAACAAAGGAGGAGGCTACAATGCTTGATAAGAAATGTACTCATTATCTTGCCCATGTAATTGTAACCCCTCTGTACAGTATTTTCACAATAAAAAAAAAAAGAGAGAGGATGAGTATGCTGCTGCCAGCTGTGGGAGTGAGATTTGGGAATGGGGCCCTGGAGGTGGGGCAAGGCAAGTACTTCCCATGGTGGAGCTGAATTGATTGTGCCACACTCCTGGTTCCCTTAGTTCTTCCCCACCGGCCTGGGAGGTGGAGCATTGTCATTGGTATACTAGCTTTGGGAAATTTAAAAAGATTGAGTCTATAGTAGTATAAAATAATAAGAACAAGTGCATCACATCATTTGTCATAGGCCGGGATTCTACCTGCAGCCCTTACACAGTGGTCACTTCCTCAGAGCAGGCAGGGAGCCAGGCATTGTGACATCAGAATAGAGGGCAGGATCGGCGCCATGGTCAGCAGGATCAGTAGCATGGTCCTGGCGGTGGTGGCAGACACCGTGTTGGAGGGTTTCCTCAGGTGCTTCTGCTGGGTGGCCGAAAACTCTGGCAGGAAACTCTGGCCTCCATGTCCTGTGAAAAAGCCCGCACATGACTCTTAAGTTGGGCTGAAGCCAGTCTTCTTGGCCTACATGTGTGAACAATACCAATGAGTATAAATTACCATCCTCAGAGCTGACTGTGACATCTTGAGCTAGGTAGACAATAGCACCAAGGAGAGGTAGCAGACTGGGCAGGGCGCACCTAGGAATCTATAGAAGGACGCCAAGGGTTTCCCTCCCCTGCCAGGATTCCCCTTGGTGGAGGCGCTTCCTGTCCACTTCCCTGTGGCTTGAAAAGTGAAGGCCTCCCATCTCCATATGTCTCCACACCAACAAACTCCACATCCAAGCTTCAGCCCCTCTCTAACTACTCTCCACATGCTCCATGGCCCCAGAATAATCTCAGCCCTAGGAGCTCAGTAGCACTCATTTCCTGCCAGTAGCCTGATCCTGAGTGCCCTTTCCACTTCTTCCTCAGTGAACATGGTGCAGAAATCAGTACCTCTCCATGTCCTCACCCCTCAACGAATGAGCCCAGAGATTGGCCTCAAATCCTGTTGGACATTGAACAAACAGCCCATTCTTTTCAGCGTCCCACCTTTCACCCATCCTCTCATTAGCACACAAACATTGTGGCAGGCAGCAGAGTTGAATTCACCATCTCGCTCCAATGCATGCATTTGAGGACATACACGGATGAACATAGAGGTGTGCCACTGTGTCTTTGTGGATGAATGTGTATCCGTGTTGTGTCCATGAATGTATGTGAGGTCATGTGTGTACCTCTCTCAATAGGTGTGTTGAACATTGGAGTCTCATGCGTAGGCTTCCAAATAGAGAAGACCTCGTCTGTGTCTACACTTGTGAAATTCCCACCCCCATGTGAAGCTCAGATCTTGCATTTCCTTTTTGTTTCTTTTGTTCATTGTTGTCTTACATGGATTGAAGCAGAATCTCTTGCCTAGGTCAAACTAGCCTTGAACTTGGTATCCTCCTCCAGGAGGCTCCCACTGCAGGAATAGACAAGGACAACTGGTTGGCAGTTTATTCTCTGTCTAGACACCATGTGCAGGGGCTGAACATCTACAAGAGTGCAGTGAAAAAGACTGACACCAGCTGTAGGGTTCCCAAGCCTTGGATGGACACAGAGTCCTTTCAGTGTATGATATCCTCAAGCAGGTGCTGGGTGGAAGCCCTAGGAGTGAGTGGGTGACTGGAGGAGGCAGGCAAGCACAGGCACTTGTACATGGGGAGACAAACTGGAAGGAGGGATCGGGTGTGAACCCAGTAAGTGGTCCTCATTACCACGACATTAACTGGACAGAGGACAGAGGTTGGTTGGTTATCTATGTGGAGTGTGCCTAGTTTTGCTCCTGACTTGTCACGGGGCCCAGCCAGCACCCAGGGGCCATTTGCAGAGGTCTGGTCTGAGGCTGAGGCTCAGCAGAGGGGCCCCCTATTGATGCTGTCATCTCCAGAGGTGTCACAAAGCACCAGGCAGTATTTAGGGATGCTGTGCGGCTGAGCCAGCTGAGTTGTATGGAAAGCTGAGGGGCAGCAGGATGTTCTCCTGCTGCCCACTATTCCGCAGAACAACTCCACTGGAAGCCTTTGAAATAATTAGAAGGCGATGGGTCATCCCCTGTCCCGGTCGCCTGAGCAGAACACCTTACATCCCACAGGTGAATCAAGGAGGAGGGAGGGTGTGGAGGAAGAGTGAGTCCCCTCACCTACTACCTTCTGGCGGCCTCAGATCCCATGTGTGTTTGACATTCTGGAGTGGGGTGTGTATACGTGTGTGTGTGTGTGTGTGTGTGTGTGTGTGTGTGTGTGTGCGCACCCCAGACTATTTTCATTGTATGGCCCAGAGACATTTGCTGTTTTGCTGCTGTTTCCATGTTTGAACTCTGTCTCATTTCTTCACAGCAATTACAGTGGGTGTTAGCCCCCACCCTTCCTGATCCCTGCAAGGCAGGATACCTGCAGGGAGGCAAAGTGAAGAAGCTAGTAGACCACTTAGTGCCTGCCCTGCTCTTCGGAGCTGCCGTGTTTATTCCTGTTTATCTGGGGGCATATAGTACTTTCAGGACTGCCCATCACGTATTGAAGCTGCTGTATAAAAGGTAAGCGCCACCTCTGATCCTTGGGACGGGCCCACTGGCTAGGCCTTGGCATGTGCTGCACTAATGCGGATCTGCTTGGATCCTGGCTACTGGCATGCTAGGACCAACATCCTCGCTGCCTGAGGCTGGAGCAGTGGGATGGGCCCTGAACAGGCCTGTCCACATTATGACCTTACACCCCGGGGAGCGAGGGCTGTGGGCAGAGCTGGGAGAAGCCCCTTCCCTCATGAAGGCCCCCCTTCTCTACATCGAGGCCTCACATGGCTGAGACCGCAAGCAAACTGTTTTCCAACTTCACAATGGTGGTATATGTTCCATCTAGGGGTCCTGAACTACCTGAACCTCACTAGGAAGCCCAAGGGAAACGCTGACAGCCCCGTTGCCCGTTCAGGTGTATGGGAGGAAGCTAGTGGGCTCATCAGCTTGTGTGGGGACCCATTTCAAGACACTTGGAACCACTCAGTGAAAAGAACAGGGAAATCCTTGTCATCCTGAGCTCCATCCTGTGCTCAGGAAAACCACTGGGACTGTAGACATCATGTGCAGACACAGTATGTTTGACATTCTCATGGTGTCCCCTAGATACAGCCATTCCCGTGACAATGAGGAGAAGAAGGAAGGCGCGCAGGAGCACCTGCAGCAGTGAGTGTGCCTGGGGGAGGAGGGAAGGCATGTGTCTTCAGAGTGGGTGCAGTGGAGAGCTGGCCTTGGAGAGGCCTGGGCAAAGGAAATGGCAGCCATTCCTGAAGGAAGACTCAAATCCAGGTAGAAATGTGTCCATGTAGGGAGTTAGTCTGGCTTGTTCTGTGCCTGAGGAGGGTGGAAGAAGCTTCTGGCACCATGACCAGGCAGTCCCACGTGCCTGCCCTGGGAAACCTCAGGACCACACAGAACGGGGAGGCCTACAGTGTGTCATCATGGACAATCCTCCAGGATTCCAGGGGCCTCCGTGAGTGCACAAGGGCCAGGATGTGCCCTGGTTGAGAGTCAGGCGAAGACCATTCACACATGGCTCTAGGTCATAGAGGGCACTAGATGCTACCTGAGTGACGGCATTCTGGGTTCTCGAGACACTATGCATGAGGACAAAGCATCCCAGGGATGACTGTTTGGGGGCATGCCCAGGGACACTAGGAGGTGGTGTGGGTGGGGTGGGTTTCACTGTGATGTAGGTGGAGTAGCATCCCTTGTGTAGACAATGTCTGCAGTGCAGCCAGGTTACCAGGTCTGCCATGGGGTATAGGCAGGAGCAGGCCCAGGAGCCCAGCTCCCACAGCTGTGCTTGAGAGGGTTCTGAGAGGAGGAGAGGCCCAGCCTCTGACTCTGCTGCTTCCCCCACTACATCTAGAGCCTTTTTTATATTGGACTCGTGGATGAGGGTATACCCAGAGTGTTGCACTGAAGCACCGGACACGTCCTGCCTGCAAGACCTGGGAACCTATTCACACTGTGTCTCTGTGGAGGAGCAGCAGGCCCATCTTCTGCTCAGCCAGCTGGAGCACATGCATCTGAAGGAGCCAGAGCTGGAGGGTGAGTAGCATGGGCTGGCAAAGGACAGAACAGGTGGGGGATTCCAAGCTTTCTCCACCTGAAGGCAGCTCCCAGCCTACCATGGTGCCCTCATCAGGACAGTCCAGGAGCCTGGATGGCTTGGCATGAAACCTGTCCTTGCTAGGCTTCCTGGGGTTGAGTCCAGGAACAGGAGCTTCCTAGGCAGGCAGGAGTGTCATTTATTTAGGAATGACTGAGGGGAGGGCAGTGCTGTAGGAGATCTTTTCTTGCAGCTGTTCCACCAACTGCACGGCAGTTGGCATCTAAACAACTGGATCCAACACCCTGCGTAGAAGCAGGACTACCATGTCAGTCAGAGCTGGAACTAGCTGCAGCCTCAGAGGCCTCTTCAGCTCCAGGAGCTGCAGTGGAGCTCCAGCAAGAATCCCAGGCTGAGAGATGTTGTGACTCGCCTGCACCATCATTCACTGAAATCAAGCCACCTGCAGGTCAGCCAATGGCCCACAGCCTTGCACTGTCACCAGCACCAAGTCTGGATCTTGGTCTGCAACATGATCCACATCCCCTATCAGGGGAAGAAAAAGTGGCTGCTCCCCCAGTGGCAGAGGAACTTAGTCCACTGGCTTTAGGGCCAGTGACTGATGAGGGGATATCAGTGCCCACTCCTGAACCCCAGGTGTCTGAAAGCCAGGCTGACCCACTTCTTCCACCTAGCCAAGGAGAAGCATATGCAGTTCAACCAGAGGCCTCAAAGCCCACTGCAGGGAACAGCTCAGGGCCAGAGCTAGAGGCTGCAGGAGAGGAAAGATGGGAGTCTACTCTCCTTATACCTGGGGAGCAAGTGGAATCTTGCCCGCTTGCTGGAGAGGCTGGCTGCCTTGAGCCTGTTGCTGAGCAGCCAGAGCCACCCGCACAGGAGCCTCTGCCGCCCAACCCGGATGTAGCACCCGTCCCATCTGCACAGCTGGACGCTGACGCAGGCTTAGGAGGGGACTCTGATCCAGTTACTCATTTGCACGAAGTAGCTGATCTCCATGAAGTAGCTGAAGACACCAATGGTGTTCTGACAAATGGTGTTGCCAAGCAAGAGCCTGCTTGCAAGGAAGACAGGCCAGCTGAATCAGATAGTGACTCAGATCCCTGGCAGTGTTTTGACATGGGGGATGTGCAGATTTCCTCCAGGGAGTCAGACCATAAAAAGGAAACAGCTCACATGCTAGAGCAGTTGCCCGACCTGAAGGTGAAGCAGTTGTCCCTCATGGCGGTGGTGAGTAGCTTGGCAGGGCGGGCATGCGGGCTTTCCTTTGCACCTCTACTGCCACACCTGCCTCAGGGCAGAGTCACGCTGACCCTTTGTTTCCTCTCTGCAGAAGCTGTTCAAAGGGCTGATCCCTGAGCAATGCTTGAGCTATATATATTATCAACCGGACCAGGAGGAGGGTCTGGAGCACCTGGCACCCACTGTGCTGGCCATCCTGGAGCACTGTGAAAAATTGCACACCTGTGTGATCAGCACATGCCTCGGGGACCACAGCACAGAGGCAGCAGAGAGGGCCCAGGTGTTGGAGCACTGGATAGACGTAGCTTTGGTATGCGCAGGAGGCGGCCCCATACCCTTCTGCTCTTTCCCACACTCACCAGGTGCTGCCTGCCCACTCACAGCCACTGCCTGAACCCTCAAGCCCTCCTTGTGCTCTGCCCTGGCTTGCACTGTGTGCACTCCTGCTCTGCTTCCACTGCCATTCCACCCTCTCCCCTATGCTCTCCGCATTCAGCCCAGGAACAAAGGCTCAGCCCCAGGGCCAAAGCAGGATCACAAGGAGCTCCCTCCACAGCTCACCTCACCCCTTCCTCACCCGTAGGAGTGCCACCTTCTGAAGAACAGCTGCACCCTCGTCTCCATCACGTGTGCTCTGCAGAGCAGCCAGCTCCAAGGCCTGAAGAAGACGTGGGGGTTGGTTGGCAGGTGGGTGCACCTTTGTCCTGGGCAACCCTTGCTTCCTCGGCCTAGCGTCCCTCATCTGGGAGCCCAGTGGCAATTCCCCATGGCAGGGACTGCGGCTCTGCCCAACTCAGACACCTATGACCTTGCTTAGGATTTGCCTGTGTGGTTGGGATTCCTTTTGTGCCATACTTTTTCCTTCGGACACAACAAACCCACATCTGTCTATGCAGTGCTCTTCCAAACAAAACCACACTGGAAATTGGGGTGAAACTGGAGGTTTCCCCTCAAGACTTGGCTCCAAACCATGTGACCTTAGGATCACAGTGGATCTCCTTGCACAGCTCTGTTCCCATTAGGATGAAGTCCTGCCCCCAAATGGGCAATGCATTCACACTCCTCCCCTCTCTCGCCCTCTCCCATCTGTCACCTTGTCTCTGCCCCTCCTCCAGGGAGAGTCTAAAGACGTTCCAGGAGCTGAAGAAGATGTATTGCCACGAGCAGGTGTACAAGGTGGTATGAGCCCCGGAATAACTTTTGGTCCAGGGAGGGAGGGCGAGGATTTGCTTTCTGATGGAATTCTAGGAGAGTATCCAACAGAGCTTGTCTAGAAGCATCCATCATGGGCTTGGGGATAGGATAGATTGTATGGGGAACAGGAGGCCCCTGGGGACCCAATGGAGTGAGTGGAAGAGGAGGCAAGCTGGGTGCCTGAGGAGGTTGGAGGAAGTGGTAGGATTGGGGATGTCCACTTTCCTGTCAAGCTTCCTCCTGAGTGTGGCCTGTGATGAGGCTGCCTCTCTACAACCTGCCTGCCTGGCACCGCCAAGCCAGGCCCTGGCTTGGTTTCTGTGTGGCCTTCCCATCCCAGGAGGGAAGCCTTGCCAGTCACGTGGGTCAGCGGGTTCCTCCAGACCAGGCAGCCACAGAAACATCTTTTAGGGCACGCAAATGTCCACATCCACCCTGGAGACAGGCCCTGCCAGGCTCTCTAGCCTGCCCAGGGCTACAGTGCTGATGGTCACAAGGAGCCTGAGATCTAAAGGCCCAAGCCAAAGCTGTCACACCCCATGGAAAGAAGGGACTCTAACGGAAGATTGAATGGTTAGAGAATGAAAACTTTTTACTCCCATGCTCAATGCTGCCAGAGGCAAGAGGCCAAACACATGACCCTCTGGAAGAAACTCAAGAGAGGCCTCAGGAAGCCTCAGCAACTGGTGAGTAGTGTGCGAGCCTGAGACCAGGGGCTTCCTAGAAGGAGTTGAGGGGCTTCCCCCAACACAACCGACCAGTTGGCCCACTCCCTTATTGCCCCAGATGGCATGTTGCAGGAATGCATTGCAGCCACCACAGTAAGGAATGCAAGAGCACAGGAACAGGTGAAGGGCAGGGCCACAGACCTTGCATGGGTGTCAAGTGTCAGCCCTGGAGGGGACCAGGCCAGATGGATTTCCCCACTCAGGCCTGTGTCTTTGGTATGGGGTAGAGGGTGGATCATTGAGGAGTGAACCTGTCTTCTCCAAGTTCTGCTAGGCACATGGCTTCACGGGGCTGGGTTAAGTCTGGGTTTCTTGGGAGAAGCTTAAGAAGACCCTTCTGATCTTTTTCCACCCAATGCCACAGGAGTATCCCGAGGGCACAGTCCCTTACCTGGGCACCATCCTCACTCACCTGGCCTCACTGCACAAAGACAAACATTCAAAAGATGTGAGTGAACAGGGGCCCAGCCCTGGGAAAGCAGAGTGGGGACAAAGAGCCTCATGCTGCCCCTTGACCTCCAGCAAGAGCCCGTGTCCTCCCCAGCCCCAGAGTCCCACAGCAATGCTACTTCTGATGCCCTATGCCCCCAGACCTCAGTGCTGCTGATGACATTTGGCCATGTCTCAGAGGGAGGTCAGTGAGGGTGGCAGTGTGACAGCAGGTGCTCAAGCTGACATAGCATGTGGGAATAGCATGGCCTTGTCACTGGAAGCCTCAAGTCTCTGCCATGTGCACAGAGAGTTGAGCAGTGAGCTCCCTGTCCTCAGGACCTAGGCCTCCCTGCCCTAAACTGAGAGCAATCCTAGTCCAGCTGTGCACCCAGCCTGCCCTCTGCTGGAAGGACTTGGTAGGGCGCCAAGTGGAAACAGCATTTTCTTAGCACATATTCTTTGCTTTGCAGGGCTCCTGGCTGAATATTAAAAGGCGAAGAGAGGTGAGAAAATGACACCTTCCTCTGCAGGCAGCCAGCTGTGCGGGTCCCTTAGGTCCTTCCTTCCCTCTGATGTGGATGGTCACATCACTTGTCCTCCAGAGGTCAGGAGATGGGGCCTTGAGCTGGGGATCTAGGACAGCATGCTGGGGTTGGGCACTGGATCTCAGTAGAGAAAGGCAAGTGTGTTGGGGAGAGACAAGAGTGAAGCCAAGTGAAGACCCGAAGTCAGCTGCCTGGCCTACCTTGCCCTGGTCCAGGTCCATCACCACTGTGTCCTTTCTCTCAACCAGGAATTCAAGGTGATGGCACTAATGAAAGAACTACAGGGCTCATGTCAGGAGCTCCAGGTGGTTCCTGACATGAACTTCGTATCTTGGTTTAACAACATGAACCGCCTAAATGAGTTGGAAAGGTGAGCTGGGGTAGGCAGTGGGGGCAACAAACATGGGAATCCCCAGCACCAGTCCATGAGAGCCTGTTGTCTGAGTCAGCCTCCCACCAGACCTGTTGAAGGAAGGGTGTATGAGCTCCTGAGTCCCCAGGGCCCCTGGGAGGGAACCCCCAGGGTGGAGCCTGCTGTCCAACCAGCTACTTCTTGTCTTAGCTCCAAGCTATCCAGGGAGCTGGAGCCTCCCCGCCGGGTACTTGTCCTGAGCTGGAACAACAAGAGGAGCCCTCCCCTGAGGAAGCGCTCAGGAAAGTAAGTACATAGGCTTGCAGGGCCAGGGACTCCCCAGGGACTGGGTGGTGGGACAGGCAGCCCAATGAGCTGGGGCTGCCCTCCCACCTCCTGCCACACAGCCCCTTGTGTCTGGCTGGTGTGGCCTGAGCTCTGCCCACCTCACTTTCTTCATTGGGGTCCCATGGTGGACCTCACTCAGAAGATTGGGCAAATGGCTACTTGGATGTGAGCAGAATAAGGAAGGCCGCCTCAGGCCTAGGGGCAGTGGGTGTGGACAGCCCTGTGTGCTCAGAGAAGCCCTGGAATTAAGGCAGTCCCTCTCTTCAGTTCCCAGGCCTCAAGCAGAGAGCCCAGCAGCAATAGCAGCAGCTCCCAGTTGGAGACCTGTGAGCAGCTCAGCAGTGGGATTGGCAGCCATACACCCAGCGTGCACTGGGGCTGCTCACCCAAGCCTTGTGCACACTTGCACAAGGAGGAGAGAAGATTTGGGCATCTTGCCTTTCCTGAGCCCCCAGATCTCCCGCTGAGCTGGGCATGGGGCTCTATCCTAGGCTGCCCTTTCATCAGCCACAATTTTGGCTGATTTCCAGTAAAAGATTAAATTGAAACACTAATAGTCTGTTTATATAATTTCTCAGCAATAACATGGTTTTTGTGAGTGCTTTTCTTTCTTTGCCTTAGTTAATGGCAGAGACTTCTACATATCCTACTTGAAGATGAAATCTTTTCAGGCTTGGAGGTCATTTTTTGCAGAATGAGGAAGAACAGGTCCCGCTCGGGGCTAGGTTTGGAAGTGTTCTCACGGTTCTTGTGGCCCATTCCACAAGCCTTGAAATCTGAGTGTTGAAACGTCTCCTGTGCAACAGCCTTGATCTTGGCTTCTGTGCAGGCAGGGAATCCACTCTCAATGTGCTGGGAGGGACTGGAGTCACCATGCACAACTGCAGGACCCTGGAGGAAAATCAAAGTGAGGCCACACCAGACCCAGGGCAGTGCTCCAGGGAGGGAGACCCTGAGCTGCACAAAGAGCTAAACACAGTCACACCAAAATCACAGTTCTTCCAAAGCAAGTACCTGCCTAAATCCCTAAGTACACTGAGGAAGGGAAACATGGAAATGACGTGACATCACAGAACATAATCAGTCAAATGCCAGAGCCCTAGGTAATATAAATCCTCTTCACCCATCATTTCACTGAGATCAAATAATTCTTCTATAGTTGCCCTCCTGGGCACTTATTCCGGTTACTGGAAGAAGACTTGTCAGCTTTGTTCCATTAGACAGTTGAAGATAGCAGCCATGGCAAGAGCATTTCACCTTTATTTTTCCTTCACTATCCCCAAGTTTCAGTGGACAAAATGCCCAGCAGGCCAAGCAGACAAACATGACCAGCAAGGAACTTAGGGGCTGTGCACCTAGAATCCTTCATAGAACATGTCCTGTAGAGGTCACGAGATTGTTACCCAGGTTTTTGTGGTTTTAATTGTTACAGAAATGTTTGTGGTTTATGCACTTGCAAAATAACTGCTAAGGTTCACTTCTCTACACCAGCTTGCTTGCACCTACTCTTAACAGAATGCATGTTTTGCCTTTATAAACATTGAGCTACCTGAGTTTGGGGCTGCTCACTCCCAAGTTGAGTTAGCACCAGTCTGTCCATCCAATAAACTCCAGCTTTTAAAGATAGTGTTCAGCATCACTGAGTTTGCCCAGCGGGTCAGTCCACCTCCACCTGACCCCCTTTGTGTTTAAAACCGTGTGAAAACAAGAGCCCCAGAATTGATTCCCCAGGCTGGAGTCAAAACTGCAGTTCTCTCAATCTGACATCTTAGTGAAGTAGGGATGCTGGGTCTAACCAGTGCCATCATGGCCACATAGTGGATAGCATACTGGGTTTAACTGGGGCCATCTTGACTTCCAGGTGAAGGAAGAGGAATTCCCACTCCCCCCCCCCCCAGGTGCTGGGCATGCCTGAATTGGGAGAGGCAGGGGTAGGGACTTGGATGATGTGTTACTGGACCGTGCTCTGAACTTTCCTGTGCCCTGTCCCCTGACGTGACACTATTTTAGGGCAGACAGCTCAGAAGCCTTTAAGCCAGGCCTCGTGCTGTGTCCACATCCTGACTCTCCTCTGATCAACATGGCCTCCATTGTGGTTCATATGGGTTGTTGGTATGGTTTTTCTGCTCTTTATTTCTTCTCTGGTCTCCCGACTTAGTTTTCTAACAGTGTGAAGTGTATTCACAGGACTGCAAGTCTTTGTGACAGGAGTCTGCCTACAGATGCCAACTTTTTAATGAAGACTCCCAATTTGGCCTCTCAAAATGTGGCTTCTCTGCATCTTGCCAAGTGGTTTCACTTTACAACATTAGTCCCTCCTCTTACCTGATCAAGGAACACATCCTCCCTCTGTCATTTCTTTCCAAAAAGATACTGGTAGGAAAGAAACTCATTTAAGTCCTGCCTGTATCCTCATTGCAGACAGTGTCTTGTTATGAGTGTCGATGTATGCAAATTGTCCACAAGAGCTAAAATGACCTAGTGTTTAAAGGGGAAAGCAATCAAATCACAAGAAAGACAAATTCTGACCAGTCTTTGATTCTGCACCACTGCAATTATGTTTATTAAGACAGTGTCATCTAGATCCTTACCTACCAATGAACCATTCTTGAGTTACAGATATTCAGGTCATACTTCATTTTTGATTGAGAGTCTAGGTGTAGGAGAAAAGAGTTCCTCAACTCCACATATTAGTTTGCTCATGAGAGGAATTGATTTGACTTAAGACCCTTTTCCTCTTGCAAAAGTATGTGAAAATACATAGCATATAAAGCCACCGGCTTTTGGTTTGAATTGTTTGCTGTGGGAGATAAGAAGTAGCATTCCCTTCATAGTCTTATCTGTAGAAATTAAAGATCCAGGAGATATTGGCAAATAAAGGGGAAAACATGTAGCAAAGCCTTCTGATTAAGGAGACCACAACCAGGCCAGGATGCCAACATGGCTGTATCTTCATCTAGGTATCTGTTGAGAAGCTACTGTGGGTCATGATCTCTACCAAGTCCTTTATACCTTCCCTAAAGTCTTCCCTACAGTCTGGTGAAGTGGACATTGGTATTCCATCTTGCTAAGGAGAAAGTTGTGCCTGTGCCAGCTCACACAGGTTGCCATGAGCTGAAGTGTTTTGGCAGGAGATGGCAGTTTTCAGGCCCAGGAGGCCAGTGTTGCAAAGGCTGAGGGTCTTACTGTAAACTGGCATATAGCATCCTGAAGCCCTGAGGATCTCAGCTCTCCACAGTATCCTTGTTCTCACATTATGAGTAAATCATTATAAGATGCATGCACAATGAGCCAGATTAACGTAACAGAAACTCAAGCATGTAGTGAAACGTTTTGTTTGTTTCAGGGTTTTTTTGTGTGTGTGTATGTTGGTCCTGAGGCTTGAACTCAGGGCCTATGTGCTTTTAGGCCTTAGCTTTTAGGCTCAAGGCTAGTGCTCTACCACGTGAAATGCTCAAGTTCCAGCTTCCTTGGTGGCTAACTGGCGGCAAGTCTCACCTCATCCTGCTCAGGCTGGCTGGAAACCAAACTCAGCCTCCTGAGATGCTAGCATTACAGGTGTGAGCCACTGGCACCAGGCTCAAACTAAATTTGAGTAGCACCGTCTCCTATTTCATTGGAAGATTCCAAACTAAATGGGACTGATCTGAAGGAAAGTTAGTGACATGAAATCTCATCCTGTTCAAGCATAGCATCTAATGTAACCTTGCTAAATAGTAAGCCATCACTGGAGAATAGATGAACACATGAAGCCATCCATCTGACATACAAATTATTTTATTATTTCTTCAAAATTAATCAAATTAGGATATGAAATAGAAATTGAACACATTCATGTAATCGCATGTACCCAGGCAGCAATTTAAAACCAGTGACTGAGGGGTTAGAGAACCTGAAGGATCCCTCACTTTCAGAGGAGCCTGGAAAAAAAATTTAGTGAGACCCTGTCTTCAAGAAGCTTGGTAGTGTTGAGTAGGGTATTTGATCCCTGCTCTGTGGGTAGAATGTACTCTCGGCCTCCTGGGTAGCTAGGATTGCAGGCATGGGCCACGAGCCCACACTCCAAATCACACAAAAGGGGACTTTGCACACCAGTTTTAATGGACAGCCCTGGCAACAGCTTGTCTCTGGGAAGCAGAGCTGGGCCTCAGGCTTTCCTCAGACTCTTCTTGATGAAGTAGCTCACCAGTCTTTGTGGCCTCTGTTGGTACTCAGCAAGCACTTCGTGGGGGCTGCTGATCTGGTCCCCCTGCAGGCGGTCCAGGAGGGTGACACACACCACAGCAGCTGCCAGAAGCAAAGGCCATGTCAACACCAAGTCCCAGATCCCTAGCTTCATTCACATGAATCAGACAGAGCAGGGAGCTGTGAGCCTCAGCCTGAGTGTCCCCTAGGGAAGTCTTCTGTGCTCACACTAACCCAGCAGAAGATGGGTGGATGAAGCAGGCAGGGAAAGGCACTCCAGCCAGCTCAGGAACGCTAGAAGCTCTGCCCTTGCACAAATCACCATGCCCTATGTCTTACCCATCGCTTTCCTTCGTTCCAAAAGAAAAGTCCTACTAGGCCAGATGCAATGGCTTATGCCTATAATCCTAGCCACCTGGGAGATGGACATGAGGATAAAACTGGTGCAAAGCCAATGGAGTAAATGACAAGATCCTATCTCAACAAACAGGTTGTGGTGTTTCGCTGGGATAATCACAGTTAAAAGAAAGATGGAAGATTACAATGCAAATTGGCCTGGAAAAACAACTCCAGACCCTATCTGAGATATATGTAAAGCAATAAAAAGGACTGGAAGCATGGCTCACTTGGTAGATCACCTTCTTGGCAAAGGAAGGCATGAAACTGTGATTTTACACCCTAGTCCACCCCAAAAAAAGGAACAAATTTCCAGGTCGATTTCAGGGCCAGCTCCCAGCTGTCCTGAACAGCCTGGAAGGCTACAGGTTGCTAAAGTGATTTGATGCAGGAGGGACAGCTGCATTGAAGACCTCCACATTCAAAAGGCCAGAGAGCATTTAAAGCCAAGGCTCAAGGAACCTTATTAGCCAGCAAGCCTGTATCTGAGCTTATGGATCTTCTTCAGGACTCACCTTCTCTGTACTATGGGAAGTCTTTGTCCTGTCACAATCACAGGACGTTGTCCACAAGGGCTCGGTCAGATACTGACTTGTAAGTCAAAGTCGGTAAGAGCCAGAAACATCTTGGGCTGGGGCAGGGGGAGGGACCCTGGATTTCAGGATTGCCCTGCAGAGCAGAGATGGCAGAAGGAGGCCCCGAGGCTATCCTGTGCCCGCTTACCTCAGAGGCCACACATACTGCACATGGCTGCAAACACTGAAGATTCCATCTCGATGTTTCGAATGCCAGCAGCATGGGCAGCTCGAAGATAGGCCTGCTTGTCCTTTTCTGTGTAGGAGCAGAGGGCACCATCCAGGCGGCCTTGCCCTGCAGCACAGACACAGGGACTCTGTATTGTCAGCTGCTACCACATGGTGGTGCTATACTCACACCCAGCATGGAAGCAGGGGAAGTCCACACAGGTCCTGCCTGCTCCCAAGTGCCGCGCATGCTTCAGAGCCACTGTTATAGCCACCATGAAATGCTGAGATTGGGTGACAGACAAGGTGCAGACACCCCAGCCCAGAGAACATGTGAAGCGGGATCAGAGTAGGGCAGGGATCCTGGGTCTAAAGGTTCACTCAGGCTTCCCCCCCCCCCCCCACCTTCGTAGAAGTCCAAGGTGCACATGGTGTTTCCCACCACAGTGGTGAACTCGCTCAGGTCCGCAGAGCACTTCATTAGCTCCTGCACCAGCTGCTCATCCAGATCAGTACTTCGAACCACCCGTTTCCCCAGGACAAGCTGCTCAAACTCTGGCTTGAAGCAGGCATCCACTGCCTGCCGGGTGATGACTACTGAGCCAGGCTCCAGACCTGAGGAAGAAGCAGATGTCACCGTTGTGCCAGAGCCCCAGGCAGTGCACAGCACAGCTCAGGGAGAAAACACTATAATCCATGTGCACCTTGACTGTTCTTACGACTCTGGAGAATGAGATATGAAGATCATAGTGCAAAGCCAGCTGGGACAGACAAAGCTGAGACTCTTGGCTCCAACTAACCAGCAAAAACTGGAACTAGATGTGAGATTCAAGTGGTAGATTGTTATCCTGGAGCAAAAATGCCAAGTAAGAGCTCAAGGCCCTGAGTTCAAGCCCCAGTACCACCACCAAGGTAAATGGTGGAATGAATGCTTCTCTTAATTATTAATTCACATGCAAACACTGAAGACAACGTACAAAAGCACCAAGAGTGTTGGAAATGCCCAGGAATCTCTACAGCCCCTCTCAAAGGTGTGTCTTCTGGCCCTTACTATTTTCTCCATGGCCTGGCATTCCATCATGAATGTGAGCATCACTACTTTGTTCATTCTTGCTTTAGTTCTTTATTGTGTTAGTGTTTAAGCACAGTATAATAAACCCTAGGCATCCTAAAGCTAACTTCACGGTTTACCAACTTCTGACCAACTTGCTTTTCTTCTAGGACTGGTGCATCATTAGGTCCTATTGTGTCTCCAGTTTTGAGCAAACCCTTGTGAACTATTTTCATGTTTATAAGCATGTTATTCCACTCCTTACTTTGTTTGTAGTCACTTTAATGGAACCTAACCACTGTTGTAGCGACTGAATGTATGTCTCCCCACATTCCAACTTGTACTTGCAAATCCTACCCAGCCCCCAAGGCAAGGATGGCTTTTGCAGTTTCTGGACATGGGTAGGTCCCAGAAATTTGAGTCCTCATGAATAGGATTGATGCCCTTACAGAAAAAGAACTCAAAGCGGGTCATCAGTGGCTCACATCTGTACTCCTAGCTATTCAGGAGACTAAGACCTGAGAAGTGCAGTTCAAAACCAGCCTAGGAGCTGGAAAAGTAGCTCAGTGGTAGAGTGCTTGCCTTGCATTGATGAGGCCCTGGGTTCGATTCCTCAGCACCACATAAGCAGAAAAAACCAGAAGTGGTGCTGTGGTTTAAGTGGTAGAGCGCTAGCCTTGAGCCGAAGAGGTGAGGGACAGCGCCCAGGCCCAGAGTTCAAGCCCCACAACCAACCAAAAAAAACAAAAACAAAAACCAGCCTAGGAAGGAACATCTGAGAGATTCTATCTCCAATGAACCAGGAAGAAGGCAAACTGGATGCATTGCTCAAGTGGTAGAGTGCCAACTCAGCATGGGTTCAAAATAAAGCAGAGTGAAAGTTCAAGGCTCTAAGTTCAAACCCTAGAACTGACACAAAGCAAAATGAAAACAAGAGTACTCAGCCCTGATGTGTCCCTCCACTTGTGTGGTCATAGCAGTGAAAATTCCATAAAGAACGAACTGGGTCTTCATCAGATCTGACTCACCTACGGTCTTCATCTTGGACTTCCAAACTCCAGAATTGAGAAATAAATGTCTATTATTTACAAGCCAGGCAGACTTCAGTATTTTTATAGCAATTCAAATACAGTTCTTTCATGTATTATTTTTGTGTTTATATGTTTTGTGCTCATCTGGGACTTGAACTCAATGCTTCAAGCTCTCACTTTGCTTTTTCACTCAAAATTGGTATTCTATCCCTTGAACCACACCCACACTTCCAGCTTTTTGCTCATTAATTGGAAGTAAGAGTCTTGCAGAGATTTCTATCCAAGCTGGCATAAAATGGTGATCCTCAAGATCTCAGCTTTCTGAGTCACTAGAATTATGGGCATGAGCCACCAGCATCCACTGCTAAATATTCATTTTAATGTCATGATGGGAGGAGATATAAATCAAGAAACCTTTTCCTAGTCAGCTGGGAGATTTGCCAGTTATTTCCCATGACACATTAAAACATTTCCAAATACTACACAAAACACAAAAAACATAGCTGATTGCTAAGACCTTCTACTTTCCATCAAGCTTGACTTCCCCTTGCCCTCACCTTTCTGGGCCAAACTGGGCAGCCTGAGCCTCTGCTCAGCCATTCTTCTGAGCTCTGAGGATGGAGCTCTGGAAGAACATGCCAGATGTGCCTTGGACTCATAGGGTCTGGGATGTGCCACTGCTTCAGGCCCCAATGTCAGCTTTTGTGGGCACACTTCCCTAGAAGACGTCATTGGCTGTGTGGGGATGCTTCTGTTGTCAAATCTGTCAGATATCTATAGCCCTAAGATCTTCCTGATCAGGTGCCAATAATATTCAGATACCAGGCTATTATTTATTCCCTAACAGTCATAGCTTGTGAGGACACCATGTCTGTCACACTTTGTTTTCAGTGATGTTCATCAATTCTGGGTTTTGAGATTCAAAGAGAGACTCAAGCTTCATGACTTCTACAAAATTCTTTCTGATCATCAATTAAAAAATACTCCCTCAGGGGCTGGGAAGTTGGCTCAGTGGTAGAGCGCTTGCCTTGCATGCCTGAGGCCCTGGGTTCGATTCCTCAGCACCACATAAGCAAAAAGAAAAAAAAAAGCCGGAAGTGGCGCTGTGGCTTAAGTGGTAGGGCACTAGCCTTGAGCTGAAGAGCTGAGGGACAGTGCTCAGGCCCAGAGTTCAGGCCCCACAACCGGACCAAAAAATATATATATATATTCCCTCAGAACAAAAACTCAAGAACAGCCATTAGTGGTGGCTCATGCCTTATTATCCCAGCTACTTCAGAGGCAAAGTTCAGAAAGGCCCTAGTTCAAAGCCAACTCACATAAAAAGTTATCAAGAGTCCATCTCAGTCAAAAGTTGGGCAAGATGATTCCTAGGACTGGGGACTGAAGCCAACCTGGGCAGAAAAGCTCAAGTGCATACCTGAAAAATTACTAAAGCAAAAAATGTGTTGAGTGCCTGCCTAGCCACAGCAAGACCCTGAGTTCTTCTACAAGTCTTCTTGTAGAAGAATACCTGCTAGCCAGGTCCTGGTAGGTCATGCTATAATCCTAGCTATTCATGAGGCTGAGATCTGAGGATCTTGGTTCAAAGCCAGTCTAGGCAGAAAAGTTCATTAAGACCCTTCTCTTCAATTACCCAGTCAACAGCCAGACATGGAGGTGTGGCTCATGTGGTAGAGCAAAAGCCTTGAGTGAAAAAGCCCTGAGAGCAAAGCCCTGAGTTCAAGCCCTAGTACTAGCATAGAAAAGGAAAGAAAAAGGAACAAAAGAAGGATGGATTTTCTAGCTGGTCTTCTAGATCTCAGAGTCAAGGTCAGCCTGAGCCTCATACTGAAACCTTACCTCAACAATAGCAAGCAAACAAACAAAAATTCCAAGTAAATTCCCAGGTTTCACATGAGAATTCAATGGGTCACAGGTGGAATTAATATTATTAAGGCTTGCCGGGTGCTGGTGGCTCACGCCTGTAATCCTAGATACTTAGGAGGCTGAGATCTGAGAATAATGGTAGAAAGCCAGCCATGGCAGTTACGGCTGTGAGACTCTTATCTCCAATAAACCACTAGAAAACCGGAAGTGGTACTGTGGCTCAAGTGATAGAGCGCTCGCCTTGAGCTGAAGAGCACACCGACAGCGCCGAAGCCCAGAGTTCAAGCCCCACAACCAACCAAAAAGAAAAGATTATTAAGGAAACTGCATCTGTATAGTACATGGACAGACTTTCTTTTCAAAAAAATGTCTTTCCCTAAAGAACAGAGTATAACAATCTATACCACCTCTACATCATATGAGGTATGGTATGATTAGACTAAAGTAAGTCAGCTTCTATCAGAGTTCAAGCCCCATGACCAACCGAAATAAAATTTACCCAGTCTGTGGTCTGTGATTAGTATTAGAGGCACAATTCCACAGTCTTTGGCATTTTTCTTTTTCATTAAATCCTATTATTTTTCACCCTCTTGGTTATTGCTGCTGTTTTGCTGTTCTGGGGCTTGAAGTCACATCCTGGTGCCGTCCCTGAGTCTCTGTGCTCAAGGCTAGTGCTCTGCCACTTGAGGCACAATGCCACTTCTGGATTTTTCTGAGTAGTTTATGGGAGATAAGAGTTGCACAGACTTTCCTGCCTGAGCTGGCTTCAAACTGCAGTCCTCAGATCTCAGCCTCCTGAATTGCTAGGATTACAGACATGAGCTACCAGTGTGCCTACTTGGGAAGTTTTGGGGGCCTCATTTAAGGACCTTTCCCTTTGTTTTGTATCTTCCTGTCTTTCCCTCTTAGGTTGCTTTGTGATTTTCTCATCATGGGCCCCAAGAACAACAGGGAATGAGTGGAGGACAGGAGAAAGAAGAAAAAGGGAACCAGATTAGGGGCAAAGGGTGAACAAATGCAGCAGTGGTACTCACTCGACACTGTGGAAAATGAACAGTATGACTTGTGGGTGAGGATGGGAGGGGGAAATGGAGAGAGTGAGGGAATGGGTGACATCATTCAAAAGAAATATACTCATTACCTAACTTAAGAAACTGTAACCTCTCTGGATATCACCTTTATACTAATAAAAAATAAAGAAAAAAGGGAACCAGGCAAATAAGGTCCCAAGTAGCCCAGAGGACATACTTCTGTGTGTGCAAGGTGTATCTCCTTTCTGCTACCAATCTCTATGGTCCAGCTGGAGGACAGGGTAGACATTGCAACAGAACAAGCTTCCTTTCCACTCTCCATGAATAAGCTCTTCTTCAACAAAGCCAAGGTAGGAGACGGTCTACCCAGCATTGCACCATGGTGGTGCTACTACAAGGAGCTCTGGGCCCTCTACAGTCCTTACCTATGCCCCCAGAAGTGCCGATTCGTATGATGGTGACATTGGAACACCTGGCATGGTACAGCAGCTTGATGAGCTCATGTAGCATGATAGAGATGGATGGAATGCCCATGCCATGCTAAAACCAGAGAAAAATGCCAAAGCTGAGTCCAGGGCAGTACCTTAGTGCATACACATGTCTCTTCTTAGCCACACAAGATGCAAAACACCAGTAATACCAGCACCCTGGGGGCAGAGGCAGGAGGATTGTGAATCTAAGGCAAGCCTGGGCTACTTAATGAGACCCTATCACAGAAAGAAAACCAAAGAGATGTCATCCTTTTTCAGAAGATAGACTCTGTGCTCTTTTAGTTACCCATAGTCAACAAGAAGGATCAGTTCCGTATGACCAAATATTCTGCAGAAAAGCAAGAGATCAAAATTGAGGCCACATTCACATAACATTTTGAGAGGGCAGTACTGGGGTTGGAACTCAGGGCCTTGCATTGCTAGGCAGGCCCTCTACCACTTGAGCCGCTCCACTAGTCTTTTGTGCACTGGTTATAGGGTCTCACTTTATGCCTGAGCCAGCCTGGACTGTGATTCTCCATGTGGGCTTCCTGGCTTCACTGAGATGACCAGGTGCTCACCATAAAACTCAAGTCACTGGTAGAGGTGAAGTCTTCCAAATTGGAGGTAGGGAGGTCAGCAGGGCTGGCCTGGACTTGAACTGTGATCCATCACTCACCCATCTCCAAGAAGTAAGGACTGCATACAGACTTGAGCCACTGTGCCTGGCTTCACATGATTTTGGTTACAGTATATTGCTATAATTACTCTATTATAGGTTATTTTTGTTCAGCTGTTGCTGTGCCTAGTTTATATATCATATAGGAAAAACAAACAGTACAAATAGGGTTTTTCACTCACAGGGAGTCTTGGAGCATAACAGGGGCTGAGGTGACTACTGTGAGCCTAACCTCCTCCACCTTAGGAGCCTCCACTCCACCATCAGAGGCCCTGATGTAAATAAAGTATGGCCTGTCCTGAATCTGGTGACCCAGGCCCTTCCCTGAAGTTAGCTGACTCAGGCCTTACCAGGTGACACAGGGCCGCTGCAACCATAAACCTTAGCCCCCCCCAAAAAAACAAAATCCCCTGCTCACACATCTCACAAACTCCACATCCCACACAAACCAGACTACAGAGTACCCCCAACCCTAGTAAAATTCCCCACCTCAGCCTCCTAGCCCCTTGCTCAAGGACGAGTGCTGTCCTAGCCAGAGAGGGTCAGTCTGACAATAAACTTTGCTGCATGTGTCTTAGTGTGCACGTGGTCTTCTGGACTGAGGCTTTCAACTACTGTGTTCTGTTTATATTTTATGCAGTGCACGCCAATGGAATGAACTTATCACAGTGGCAATAGAAGATGATCTTTAAAGTGGAGATTTAAAACTATCTACTTGAGAGATTCAAAATCCTCAGATCCATCCTATACACGACCTCCATACAAAGTTTTGAAGACTCAGCACTCGGGGGGAGGGGGGAGGCTGGGAAGGGATGTGAAGGGTAAACCAAAGGAGGAGGCTGCAATGCTTGGTAAGAAATGTACGCATTATCCTGCCCATGTAATTGTAACCCCTCTGTACAGTATGTTCACAAATAAAATAAAATTAAAAAAAAAAAAAAAAAGACTCAGAACTGGGGAACTGAATGAAGCTCAGTAGGAAGGTCGCAGCAGCTCCTGCTGGGTAACAAACAGCCCCTTCTGACATCACACCACACTGGTCATTTTTTATCTCCTCAGATTTATCCCTGGCCCCTCTGTCTCTGCCAAAGTAGGTGGCTGGCTGGACACTGCTCACACCAACCGGACAACTTACTATGAATGCACATCTGCCATTTTCTCTCTTTGAGGTGTCTGCACAGCCTTTCTCCCACCTTGCAAAACCTTTCCCCCACCCCCAGGATGCCCCTGCCATCCCAGTGGCTATGTAATAGAGCCCTAGGGGAAAAGGAACCCTTCAAGAATTACAGCCAGGCACCAGTGACTCACGCCTGTAAGCCTAGCTACTCAAGAGGGTAAGATCTGAGGATCATGCTTCAAAGCCAGCCCAGGCAGGAAACTCCATTAAGATGCTTATTTCCAATAAACTACTTAAAAAAGCAGGAAGTCAGGGCTGGGAATATGGCTTAGTAGTAGAGTGCTTGCCTAGCATGCATGAAGCCCTGGGTTCGATTCCCTAGTACCACATGAACAGAAAAAGTCAAAAGTGGTGCTGTGGCTCAAGTGGCAGAGTGCTGGCCTTGGGCAAAAGCAGCTCAGGGACAATGCCCAGACCCTGAGTTCAAGCCCCAGGACTGGCAAAAAAAAAAGAAGAAGAAGATGAAGAATTTGGCTCAGCTGGGCACTGCTAGTTCATACCTGTAATACCAGCTACTCAAGAGGCTAAGAACTGAAGCTCACAATTCAAAGCCAGTCAGGGCAGGAAGCTCTGTAAAACTTTTCTCCAGTTAATCACCAAAAAGCCAGGAGTGGAGCTATGGCTCAAGTGGAAGAGTATCATCCTTGAGCAGAAAAGCTAAAGGACATGGGCCCCAAGTTCAAAACCTAGTACTGTCACATACACACACAGTTGTGTGTACAGTTGTTATGAAGTAAGTCACTCATTGTGGGATGGCAGAGAGGACGGAGGCCTGCTACCCTAGCTCCCCTTGCACCCTGATCCATGCAAGGCAGCTCCTCCTCCGTTTCCTCGCATAAGCTGGGCTCCTGCACTGCCTGCCCCTGCCACACACACACTATGTGCACAGCTGTGTGTATCTGCATTGTGTTTGGATCTGTGTGCTTAGGTGCTCTGGGAGACAAAGTCTTAAAGTCACAGCCCTGGTCGCATTCATCCCCACTGCTTCAGGCTCACCAGGATCCCACCACTGACAGTCAGCAGGTGATAGGGCGCCAGCAGTCTGTGTGTAAGGGTGAGGGGAGGCAGGACCCCAGAGCCTAGAGACCCAGCCCAAAAGCGTGGATGGTACACTCACAGACAGCACTGGTCCAACTTTGTACATGGCATAGCGGTCGGTCCCCGCACAAATGTTAGGAAACTCTTCTCCCGGACGGTCAAGGCCCAGCTGTGTGGCCACATACCTGATGAAGGTGTTCATCCGAGAGGGGCTTCCACCAACACACACAAACTACCACCAGAGAACAAGGACGCCCTCAGCACACTGCTGCCAGCACAGGTGTTCAAAGCCGAGCCTTCTCACCAGGAACTTCAGGGTTATTCAGGAACCTGGTCAAAATGCAAGCTCCCTGGTTCTGCCTCACCTACTGTACTAGGGAGGAAGGAAGGGTAATTGGCTTTAACGAATTGCCTGACCAGATTCAGAAGCACTGAATCTCACTGCTCATGAGAGAGTAACTCAGAAAACAATGCAAAACTCCATGAGGGGTACTGCAGGAGGCCTGAGACTGGGCTGGAGGTTAGGAATTCTTCACTCTCCTCCACTCTTCCTACAACCAGTGTCCTACAGACCATCTGAAAAATGGACTACCAGTTACCTCCTGAGTGCCAAAGAGTCAATGGTCAGAAATAGTTGGGGAGGTTTAGGCAACTGTGGGTATAAACTCAGAGAAGTAAAATCCTTAACTTGTGAAGTTTCATGCAAGAAAACATTTGAAAAAAAATATATAAATGTATAGATAACATACATTACAAATATATTCATAAATATAAACATATATAGTGATGGAAAAAGAGAGCACTAGTTTTAGGAAATCTGAAGATAAAAGAAATGGTGTATTCCTTAAACATGAGATATCCGTAAGCTGGAATATAAATCATGATAGATGATTTAATGACAGAAGACCCAGAACCCACATGCTAATGGTTCATGCCTATAATCTTAGCTACTCAAGGAGGCTGAGATCTGAGAATTGAAGTTTGAAGCCAGCCTAGGCAGAAAATCCAAGACACTCTATAACCAGCAAAGAGCCAGAAGTAGAGTTGTGACTTAAGTGGTACAGCTCCAGCCTTCAGCAAAACAGAGAACAAAGCCTTCAGTTCAAGCCCCAAATACTGAACAGAAAACAAACAAAACACTAAAAAGGACACCTGGAAAATTCCCTAGAGTTAGACATCAACACTGAACCAATAACAGTACTGGATGTTGAAAGATACCTAGCCCTGGGTTCAGCATCTTTGTACACAGCTCTAGGTTGGATGGTGGAGCTTGACTTTCTTCCAGTTTGCAATTCCATGTGTTAAGTCAGCTTTACCCACCAGAACTAGAGATTTACAAAGTCCTTTGTGAGCAGGAAGGTATCTATGGCTAACCACAATTAAGTGTAGCTAGAAGAGAGGATCATGAATGTTCCCAAACCAAAGAAATATAAAAGTAAGTTATGGAGATGCTAAATACCTTCATCCAATCATTATACATTGTAGAATTGTACTGTAGTACCACATTGTACCCTGTAAATACATACAGTCTTTAGTGTGAAGTAAAAATCAACTTAGCTAGGTGCTGGTGGTTCACACCTGTAATCCTTCCTACTCAGGAGGCTGACACTTGATGATAGAAATGTGAAGCCAGAGCAGGCAGAAAAGACTGTAAGACTATTATCATCTCCAATTTTCCAGTAAGATGCTATCAGTGGAACTGTGGCTCAAATGGTAGAGTCTCAGCCTTGAGTGGACAAAACAAGCAAGAGGACAAGGCCCTGAATTCAAGCTACAGAACTGCTCCCTCCAAAGAAATAAATACATTTAAGAAGATTTTTAAAGCCTATTAGGATAACGCAACACTGAGGAATTTAGATTTTGTAGACACCTATCCTTGGCAAAATAAGCCCTGAGAGACAATTAACTTAAGAATGTATTAATATGCACCTTAAAGTACAAACCATTGTAATATAAATTACCTATATAACTATCCCTGCTTCTCTTGGAAATATTTTGTTATCCCCTTACTCCCTATTAAGCATTAGGCAACTTACTCTATTTTATTTTTCTTGTTGATCATGGGGGGCTTGAACTCAGGGCCTGGGTGCTATCCCTGAGCAGTTTTACTCAAGTCTATAACCATAACACTTTGAGACACAGACCTATCTCCAGTTTTCTGGTGGTTATTTGGAGATAAAAAGTCTCATGACTTTCTGCAGTCCTCAGATCTCTGCTTCCTGAGGTAGCTAGGATTACAGGCATGAACCACCAATGCCTGGCATTTTATTTTTACTTATTCATTCATGTTTTGGCAGATGGCAGTATCTCTAGGTTACCCAGGCTGGCTCCAAACTCCTGGTCTCAAACAATTCTCCTGAGAGCCTCAAAGTAAACAGACCTGCAGTATAAGTCTTTTGGCCTGATTCAAGAAGTTTCCTATCTGTACAGTTCCCATTATATACTAAAGTTGTAAAAGATCAATCGACGTCAATGCAGCAATATTAAAGTAGTTTCCTCTACTTCGTATACTTAGACATTTGTAAAAATTTGATAAACACATAATGGCATGCACCTGTCACCTCTCTACTATCTGTGAGCAGGCCTGGCTATACCACAAAGGAGATTACTGTACAGCAAATTGCCAGAATGAAAGCCTGGACTTTTATCTTGACTTCGCCAAACATAGCTGGGAAGTCGTGTGTGCTGGTGCTGAGGCTGAAATGGTAGAGAACATCTTCCTTCATGGTTGCTAGGTTTGGATTGGAAAGCTGAATGAGGCAGTCGCTGTTAGAAATAAGAAAATGGGTTTATAGATCATGGTGCTACTGGCTGGTTTTACTGCAGCCATATTCCCTGTGAGGCACAATCAGAACCCAGTGATAAGACACTCCTATACTGCCAAGGTCTTCACTAGCCCATCTCCTCCCTCTTAACTCTACTTTCTTCTGACAGCCCCTGTTCCCAGGTAACCAGCACAAATTCAGAAGATTCACCACAGGACTGACATCACAGTGGTAAATCACCCACACACAGTTGCTATATATAGCTGATTGTATCCATACCAAGTTCACTTCATACATAAACCTGGAATTTTGGTGTTCACCTTTAGGAAACAGGGATAGAAAAGAAAATCACCCCTACCACCCAGAAATAACCTTTCCAGTCCACATAGCTCTAACTTCTTTTTCTTGTCTTATTGCTATAGCTACCACTTCTGAGTCCACTAGGAATGGAGAAGGAAGACATCTTTTCACTTATTTTGTCAGTGTAGCTCACAATACATTGCTTTAATAGGCGTTGAGAAGCTGTAACATGACTTTTACCTTTACAGACCATTATGTTTCTGTCAAAATCATTCAAGTCTGCTATTGTTTCAGGTACAACACAAACAATGACTGTGTTCCAATGAAATTGTAGTTACAAAAGCAAGTATGCCGGGCTTAGGCAATCCCATTCCAGCCTGTCAAGCTTCCTGAAAACCAGAGTTTACTATGGCTTCAGCAACAATGCCTGTCTTCTGATTTCCAGAGACAGGCATGGCTCCTTCCCATCAGGAACTGAGTCCCTGAACTCAGAGCAATCAGAGCTTTCTTTTTCCTCCTTTTCCATCTAACTTTATACCTAGAACCAAATGACCACATTTCTTCCTCAATCTAATTCATGAAAAAAGGAAAAGAAGAGACAGCAAGTGTCTCTGCTGCCTGTGATTGGAAATAAGTAATCCAGATTTAGCTGGTTCCACTTGACAGTGGTGTGAAAGGGCTAGACATTCAATAAAGAGATTGAACTTGAACTTGGATCTTTTCTGGAGCTAATAATATGCACTGCAACACTTCCTAGCAAGATTGTGCAGCTCCATAGCTCTTGATCAGAGGCACCATCACAAGAGGAATTCCCTGACACTGCACAAGGTACTGTGTTGCTAAGCTAAGCTGTTTGTTAAGTTAGATAGAGGTACTGCAGTTTATGGTACTTTCAATCTACATTAGGTTTATAGGAGTGTAACCCAGTCTTAAGTCAAGGAACACCTGTAATATTAAACAAAGTGACTTCCTCAAAGATGTCTCCCTCTCTCCAGAGGATGCTTGTTATACCTTATGCACATTGTATTACAACAATAATGCAAAGCTGGGTGCTTGGCTCAGGCCTGGAATCCTAGCTACTTGGGAAGCTGAGATCTTAGGAACACAGGTGAAAGTCAATCCAAACAGGAAAGTCCATGAAACTCTTATCTCCAATTAACAGTAAACAGATGTGGAGATGAGGCTCAAATAACAGGATGCCAACTTTGAGAAAAAGCTAAGCACCCAGGCCCTGAGTTCAAGCCCCAGTATTGGCACTGGAGGAAGAAAGAAAGGAAGGAAGGAAGGAGAAAGAAAGAAAGAAAGAAAAGAGAAAGAAAGAAAAAGAGAGAGGGGAAGGGAGGGAGGGAAGGAATGAGGGATGTAGGAAGGCAGGCAGGAAGGAAGGAAGGAAGGAAATAATTAGTATTATCTCCATGATAATTATGTCATAGAGGTCAAGACTACGCCTTATTTTATCTGCATGCAAAACAACATTGAATTGGCTCTGCTCTGTTTTCTAGATTATTTCATCTATTCTTGAATTCTTTCTGCAGTCAGCATTAACAGCAGACACTGGGCCTTTCTTTCTCCCTCTGCCTACATCTGTTACTTTCTTTACTATTTCTCGTTTCTCTTTTGACCCTCAACCACTAGAGTGGTGTCCAGAAATCCAGCCATGTTAACTTTTTCAAAAGGCAGTTACAGAATAGAAAGTATAAAAGACTAAAGAGACAATTGGTGGCCAGTGGCTCACTCCTATAACCATAGTTATTGAGAGCTGATGATGACACTTTGAAGCCAGCCAGGGCAGACAAATCTGAGAAACCCTTATCTCCAATTAACCAGCAAAAAGCCAGAAGCAGAGGTATGGTAGAGCACTAACCTGAGTGAAAAAGCTAAGGGAGGACGCAAGGCCCTAAGTTCAAGTCCCAAACTCTGGCAAACAAACAGGACTAAAGAGAGAGAGTAAACATTTATACAAAGCACGCAGCCGACTGCTCTATAGGCAAGTGTGAGAAGATGGTGCAGCATGGGTTGATGGATAAAAATATCGTGAGTGACCACAGGCAGGGACACAGGGCAAAAGTGCTATCCCTTTGCTCCTAAGGGGCAAGCAACCAGCTCCAGGAAAAGCATGCCTATCAGCTAGGAGTTCTCTTCCTAACAAATTCAGAACTCGTTTTACTAAGGGGTAAGGGAATGGGATGTTTGTTTTTAAAGGCCCAAATCCAGAGGGTTAGGACCATCCCAGAAGGCCTTTTTTATCTCTAGAAAACTCTGAAACGCTGATCTTTATAAAGCAACCTACGCAGAGCATGTTCAGTGCCTTTAATGACAACTGGCTTTGATATGCTGGTGGCACCCTGGTCTCTCTGAGAATGTCATGAACAAAACCCAAAACCAACCGTCGATGGGTGTGCCCTGAAATGATGCAACAGGATGCCATGAAGACAATTCAGTCACGTATTTCAAAACAGAAAACCTTTCTTCAATGCTTGACTCCAGGAAGAGCAGAAGGAAACAGAGTATAACCATGAGATCACAAGGGTTTTAACTACGCAACTTTGACCCTTATCATAATGAATGTAATAGGCTCCCACAAACTGGTGTGTGTGTGTGTGAGAGACAGAGACAGAGACAGAGCAGACGTGTACCATTACTGGGGCTTGAACTCAGGGCCTGGGTCCTCTCACTGGGCTTTTTCTGCTCAAGGCTGGCATTTGACCATTTAAGACACACCTCCACTTCTACCTTTATGCTGCTTAATGGAGATGAGAACCTCATAGACTTTTCTAACTTAGCAGGCCTGGAACCTCAATCCTCAGGTCTCAACCTCTTGAGTAACTATAATTACAGGTGTGAGCCATCAGCACCCAGCTGTCAAATACTTTTGAAAGGATTTCAAGGTAATGAGGCAAGAGACAAAATGTTCCCCATCTATACACAATTCCAGGAAATTTATCTCTGTATTCATTTAACAAACATTCACTGAGACTGTCCTATTCAAGCCCCAGCAGCAGGACAGAGCGCCATCCCACACACCCATCAGAAGTGATGGGCAGCCAGAGAATGAAGAAAGTACAACAGTCAATAGACTCGGGTCTAGATAGGGAATCTGGGAGTGTGGCCCAGTGTAGAGCAAATGCTTAGCATGCTCGAAGCCTGTGTTAAGAAGTTCATACTGGTAATCCTAGTGCTGGTGCTCACACCTGTAATCCTAGCTACCCAGGTTAAGTTTCAGTAAACTGGCTACAAATAGCAGAACACACACATTTAGGTGTTAAGCTGTCTCACATTCTGAGACCACAGGTCCTAAAAGTTGAGGGCAGAGACACCAGGATCCAAGCTAGAGGTCTTTTAGGCCGTGAGAAACATGAGCCCTCCAAGCCCTTGATCCCTCATCCTGTGTCATTTGACTTCAATGCTCTAACATATGTTAAGTTCTTAGGAAAGCAAATGGCTCAAAGCATTGCATCATTAAAGACAACCCTACATATCCCCAGCCAACAAGGATCAATCCTACTTGTGATGATTTTCAAGTTCCTTTTCTTCCACTTTTGCAGCTGCCATCTCCCCCAGTAGCAGGACCTGAAAGAAAAGCATTGCACAGAATAGTCAAGCCACCCAATAGGGAGCAAGGTCGTGTACAGCTCTGCTAATACTCAAAACATTGGTACAGATGGGCACCAGTGGCTCACACCTGTAATTCTAGATACACAAGAGACTGAGACCTGAGAACTGTGATTCAAAGCCAGCCTGCCTAGGAAAGTCCATGAGACTATTACCTCCAATTAACCACCAAAACTCCTGAAGTGGACCTGTGGCTCAAATGAGACATGCCAGCATTGAGGAAAAAAGCTAAGAGACTGTGTCCAGGCCCTGAGTTCAAGCTCCAATGCTGTCTTAAGAGAGAGAGGGGGCGGGGGAGAGAGTGGGAGAAGACAGAAAGAAAAGAAGAGAAGGAAAGAGAAAAGACAAGACTACTCATTCCAAGTCTGTAGGCTGTAGCCTTTTTCCTGGATCTCAGTTAATAGTCCCACAACCCACTTCACCCCTTGTATCTCACCACTGTCTTAACACCAAAAAGTCCTTTTCAATGAGCTGGATTTTTCATAGTTATTAATTATAATATGCTGGCTATTTTCAGTAAATTCTGAAAACCAGAGAAATGATAGTGGTTGGATCTAGAGGAAGATTTCCCCAGCAATCGCTGCTTGCTTATCTTCATCTAACTTTGATTCCCCCGGCATTTGTAAAACACTTCTTTGAAAATGCCAGCGATTAAGACCCTGCCAGGGGAGCTTTAAAAGGAGAGTTTGTTGTTTTTTGCAGTGCTGAGGGTTGAGCCCTGGACCTCACCCCTGCTAGGCAAGTGCTCTACACAAGGCTACATGCCCAGCCTGGGAGTGACTTCTCCTAGAAGTACAGTCCTTCGTCCTGTAACATCAGCAAACAAATCCAAGCACAGTGCAGACAAAGAGTATTTATAATGAGTCAGAGGAACAAAGTAGGAGGCTTTTCCTAGTGTTGAGGAAGAGAGTGGTACTGTGGACAGTGGGGGCAGAGGCCCTGTGCTGGCCCTTAGGAAGGATCTGGGTTGTACACCTCTGGCAATGCCTTCAGGCTTTCTGCAGTACCCACTGACCAGATGCTCCCAACTTTTATGTTATTCTGGATCCTGGGAACCATCAGGAGCAGCACTGTCCACAATGGTCAGATGGACTGGCCTTCTCTGTGTTCTGCCTCTCCTATGGTCATCACACAGGCTATATAATCTGGTCTCTGTTAGGTCTGAGTGGCCCAGGTGTCCTTATCAATAGATCACAGACCAGTGCCTTGATTTCCAACCACTCCTGCCCTACCCTCTCTCCACCTCCCATGCAGCTGGCACCAGACCAAAATTTACTGGCACTTTAAGAGGTGAGGGCCTTAAGCAAACAACACCCCCGCCCCCAGGCTGGTCTCCTCCCTATCTCTAAGCTGTGACCCATTTTGCACATTACCTATGTCCCAGGATCAGATACTTTCCTACCAATCTCCACCAGGCAAAAGCAGCATTCTCATGGAGTATTACACATGTCCTAACAGGGGAGTGACACAGCTCCAGCTTTGGCCAGACGCTCCCCCGGTATATGTTCTTCCCAGTCTGACTTGTGCTGGTGTTGAACCATGTGTCTATTTCTATTCACTAAGTGAAGAAGGGTTTGGGGGATCCTGGAGAGTCACAGTCCCCAGGAATCCTTAAGACAGACAGGTGGTCAGAGAAGCCAATTTCCTGGTCCTGGCCTCACCTCTGCTGGCACCTTCCTGAGTCTACTTCCTCCTTCCCCTGTTATTCATTCGACTTTGAGGCTTCCACCTCCTGACCTTCCTCCCTTCATCTCAGCCCTCTGCTTAGCCAGGACTATTTAACAACTTCATGGGCAATGGCAGTTGAAAGCTCGGTTGAGAAAGGGCTAAGGGTGACCATGTACACTGGAGGAGGTAGGGGTGATGGTCTGAGGTTATCCACAGGGGCCTTGAATCAATATAAAGACCAGAGGAGAGAGAAGAAAGATGTCACCTCCTATGCCAACTGGAGCCTCATGGGATGACAATGATGAACCAATTAACACACCCTGTGAACTCACCTGTCCCCAGAGGCTACCTGGTGAAATCTGAGCTAATTGTGCAGATGGAATATGGGCACTAGTACAGGAACCCTCTTATGCACAGCGAGGGTGAGGTAGTGACAAGCGCCCTCCCCACCTGTCTGTTGCAAGCTGAGAATATGCTGCCCAGGAGACTCAAATATTTGCAAACCTCTCCCCTTAAAATCTTGATTTTTCAGAGTGCTGGTATCTCATGCCTATCATCTTAGCTACTGAGATCTGAGGGTCTCAGTTCAAAGGATAGAGCCTTATCTCCAAGTAACCGGCAAAAATGTTGAAAGTGGAGCTGTGGTTCAAGTGGTAGAGAGCTAACTTGAGGAGCAAAAGCACCCAGGCCTTTAATTCAGTACTGCTGTGAATGCACATACACACATACACACACACACACACACACACACACACACATCAATGTATCAGTGTGAACCTAGCATGTTCTGTGAAGGAGTAATGGTCCCTTCGTGATTCCTTACTAGGAATCAGATTGGAGAAGCTATGGTGAGGATGACAGAGCTAAGGACTAGTACAAGGAGACAAAGTGCACATAAACTCTGGGCCCTACCCAAAATATCCATTAAAATTATACTTTTAGCCACGTGCTGGTTGCTCATGTCTATAATCCTCAAGTCAGGAGGCTGAGAAAGGAGGATCACAGTTTGAAGCCAGCCCAGGCTGGAAAGTCCATGACTCTCTTATGTCTAATTATCTACCAGAAAACTGGAAGTGGAACTGTGGCTCAAAGTGGTAGAAGGGGGCTGGGAAGGTAACTCAGTGGTAGAGCAATTGCCTTGCATGCTTAAGGCCCTGGGTTTGATTCCTCAGCACCATATAAGCAAAAAGAAAAAACCCTGAAGTGGCACTGTGGCTCAAGTGTAGAGTACTAGCCTTGAGCTGAAGAGCTGAGGGACAGCGTCCAGGCCCATAGTTCAGGCCCACGACTGGACTCCCTCCCCCCCCCCAAAAAAAAAAGATTAAAAAAAGTGGTAGAAGGCTGGCTCTGAGAAAAAAATAAATCAGGGCAGCAACCAGACTGAATTCAAGCCTGAAGACTGACCAAAGAGAGAAAGAAAGAAAGAGAGAAAGAAAGAAAGAGAGAAAGAAAGAAAGAAAGAAAGAAAGAAAGAAAGAAAGAAAGAAAGAAAGAAAGAAAGAAAGAAAGAAAGAAAGAAAGAAAGAAAGGAAAGAAAGAAAGGAAAGAAAGAATAAAGAAGATTTTTAATTACTTTGTCAAAAACACCAAGCTTGAAGCCCCTTATGACAAAATGAAACTAAAACTAGTGAGGTTGAGATGATTATACAAATGACAAACCACGAACTGTCACCATGGAAAGATCTCATTCCCCAAGGAGCCCTTGGTACCTCCCTAGAATCTACCCAGATGTCAACTCATCTGTCCCGCCAGAACCATAGCATCTTTCTTGGTTTATCTGTTCCAAGTTATCACCTTTGAAAGTCACACAGCTGAGCAACATTATTAGCGTCCTACTGGCTTAGTGAAGACAACAACCCTGATGTGTAGATTGTGATCACAGTTGCCTGGCTTTCTTCAGAAAACTTCTGAGGGCCACTTTAGCTGAAAATACTGAGTGTTTACTAGAAGCTATGGCTATCTGATGGATGGTTAAAGTAAGAGAAAAGCCTTGAAATGCCCATCTTCTTCTCATTCTGACCCTTTGCTACACTGACCTGTGAGGCAGATCCTACTCAGTAGTGCATGCAGACAGGTCGATCATTTTTTCCAACACCTTTATACAAGACTATTGTCTGTTAGAGCTGGTCTGTGTTTCTTCTACCACACCCTGGGATTTCTGAGTAGCTAGCACTCACAGGCCCAGGCCAAACCAGGAGGTCAGGGTATTGCATACAACTATGAGTAATTCGACTATTCCCGGGTTTAAGCATTGCTCATCTGCAAACCTCAAGGCAGGATGCTTGCACACAAGAAGGAAAACATCTTTGGCACATCACGACCAATGGACAATCACCAAACTCATTAGGCATGCTAATTATTGAACAATGAGCAGGAGGTACACATGGTACACTGCTTTATTCCTACAGTGCAAGCTCAAATCCCAGTAAAGAGCTGGGCACCAACGGCTAGCACCCCGTAAACTTAGCTACTCAGGAGGATGAGATATGAGAAACTCGGTTAGAGCCAACCTAGACAGAAAATTCTTATTTCCAACTAGCCACCAAAAAGCCAGAAGTGGAGCTGGGAATGAAGTAAGTCTGAAAAAGGGAGGAAGAGAGGGTGAAGGATAGTAAAGAGGAAGAGTAAATGTTGAGTGATTATTTTCAGAGTCTAGAAAAACTAGGAAGTTTCACTTTCAGTTTTCTGTTTGGTTTGCATTTTGCTTTTTTACAGTAAGTTATAAAGCTCAGTAGATATAATCAAAGCACACTTAGACAAAAAAGCTAAGAGTCAGGTGTCAGAGGCTCACACCCTTAATCCTTGCTACTTGGGAGGCTGAGATCTGAGGAACATAGCTCAAAGCCAGCCTGAGCAGGAAAGTCTGTGAGACTCATCTCCAGTTCATCACCAAAAAGCCAGAAGTTATCTGTGCCTCAAGTGGTAGAGCACTAACCTTGAGCAAAAAAAGCTAAGGGACAGTGCCTAGGTCCTGAATTCAGGCCCCTGTATGTGTGTGCATGCACACCTACACATACACACGTGTGTGCACCAGATAAAGAAATACTGATCTCTTTTTTTTCTTTCTTCTGGTCTTAAGGCTTAGTATAATCACTTCTGCTTTCCGGGAGGGAGTTGATTGGAGATGAATCTTACAGGCTTGGATGCGTGGGCTAGCTTCAAACCGCTATCCTAAGATTTCAGCCTCCTGAGTGACCAGTTTTACAGGCATGAGCCACTTAATCTATCTTTTCTAGCTAAACTATTAATAATGGCCAGCAGTGCTGAGAATATCTGAACCAATATCTGAGCCTAATGAACCTGCGTTGGATGTCTGCAGACATGGAGGGAGACTCGAAGGTCAAATTAGCCTCCAAAGAATGGAAAGAAAGAATGGTGGATCCGCTGAGAAGTGAGCGACTTTAGTTAGCCCAAAATGTAGGAGCACAAGTTACACAAATGGAAAGGTGAACAGACAATGGCTGGCCCTGAGCATAACCAGCGAAAGCCTGCGAAGAGTGAGTTTTGGCTACTCCTTCTAGTAAGGACTGGGGTTTGAAGCCAGACCAGGCAGAAAAGTCCATGAAACTCTTCTCTCCAATTAAGCACCAAAAAACTGGAAGTGGAGCTGTGGCTCAAGTGGTAGAGCACCAGCCTGGTCAAAAAGCCCAGCAAGAGCACGAGGCCCGGAGTTCAAGTCCCAATACCGGCGCGCGCACACACGCGCACAGAGCAGGTGCAGAATCTGTCTTTGTAAGGAGGGCGCGGCGAGCACAGCGTCTGGAGTCCCGAGCTCCCTCCCCACGCGTGAGCGCCAGAGCTGCTCTCCACGCCCTGGGCCTGAGCGCTGCATTCTCCACGCGGCGGCTGCACCACGCGGGGCCGCAGCGCCCACCGGGCCGCTCCACCTCCCCGGCCCCGCTCCCCGCACATCCTCCGCATCCTCTCGGTCCGGCGATCGTGACACAGAGCTCATCGACGGCCACGCGGCGCTCGGTCCGAGCCCGCGGCCGGCCAGGATCTCCGCAAAGACCCGAGCCCGACCCCTTACCGCGCGCGGATCCGCTGCAGGCGCTCGGCCCCGTACGTCCGCACCGGGATGCCGGGCCGGGACCGGGCACCGGGCCGCGGGAGGCCGGCGCGGGGGTCTGGAGCGGCCCCGGGAGCCTGGCGGATCCGCCTGGAGCGGCGGGCGCGCGGCCACCTCGAGACCGGAATCTGCGGTCGCAGCCCGGAGCCCCGCCCGCCCAGGAGACCCCGCCCGGGGACCGGCCCCCCGTCCAGGCTGAGGGCCGGCCCCGCCCGCCCTGGCGCCAGGCCGCTCTGCTGACCGCGCCCCGCCCACCTCCCGCTGCCGCGGACCCCGCGGGACAGGGGTTCTAAGTCACCGCTCTGAGATCCCCGGCACTGCGGGGACTGCTGGCCGCGGGGCCTACCTGCTGCAGCACGGGGACCTGGATGCGCCCGGTTCTTTTGCTTCCCAAGGTCACCCACCACTGACCAGCCCGAGTCCGTCCTCTGTCTAGTCGCTCTGTCTGTCTCCGTCTTGTCTGACTGTCTTGCTGTCTGTCTGTCTCTCCGGAGGCGACCCCAGAGGGACCCGCACCAAGGGAGTGCGGGAGGGAAAGTATAACGTGAATGGGTGAGGAACCTGGGGCTGGGAATGGTCAGCGCTGGGTTCCCCCTCCCTCTTTCCGGTCAGTTTCTGGATTCTCCAGGAACCTTCCTGACCTTGAGAGTTTCCCCCGTGGTGGGAGGAAAGTCAGGAGTGAGCTTGCAGGGTGAGGGGAAGTGACTCATCCAGCCACCTCCCAGCAGGCCAGCCTGTCCCTCCAGCCCCAGGCACTCTCCCCAGCCCTAGGGCCTTCCCAGCACCATCTCCTCTCTGTGGTGTCCTTTGCCAGCTTATCTCATTGGTCCTGCCCTGAGGACAACCTGGAGTCTTGGGAAGAGCTCCCAGGTGTAAACTTAATTGCTTTGCTCTGGGACTGGGGTTCTGAGAAGAGCCTGTCAGCCTCCTCCTCCCTGTGGAGATTAAGGTGTGTGTGTGTGTGTGTGTGTGTGTGTGTGTGTGTGTGTGTGTGTGTGTGTGGCCCCAGTGTGTGTGTGTGTGTGTGTGTGTGTGTGTGTGTAAGGTGTGTGTGTGTGTGTGTGTGTGTGTGTGTGTGGCCCCAGGAGGGTGAAGGGGAGGCCCTGAGGCCCTGGGCACTATCCCTGACCTTTTTTGCTCAAGGCTGGCTCTCTACCACTAGAACCACAGCTCCACTTCCCGACTTTTGCTGGTTAATTGGAGATGAGTTTTAGGGACTTTCGTCTGCCTTGTGCTGATTTTGAACTTGGCTTCTTAGATCTCAACCTCCTGAGTAGCTAGGATTATTGGTGTAAGCCGTCACCATCTGGCCTAAAAGATTTTTTTTTTTTAATTTCCAAGAAACTGCAGAGGCTAAACTCGGAAGTGAAACAAGTATCAAGATTTACTTGTCAGGTTAAAATTTTGCAGATCTCACTGGGCACATGCCTAGAATCCTAGCTACTCAAGAAGCTGACATCTGAGGATCACTATTCAAAGCCAGCTAGGACAGGAAAGTTCATGAGACTCTTATCTCCAATTAACCACTAGAAAACTGGAAGTGGAGCTGCAGCTCAAAATGGTAGAATGCCAGCCTTGAGCAAAAGAGCTCAGGGACAGCACCAAGGCCCTGAGTTTAAACCCCATGACCAACAAAAAGAAAAAAGAAAAAACTGTGGCTCAAGTGGTAGAGCATTAGCTTTGCGGGGAGGGGGGGGGTGGTTCAGGGACAGGCACAATTTTTTTTCCAGATGTCACAAACTAGATGCCAATTTTATAGCCATTTTTATGCCTCACTTGAAAATCCTACATTGTCTTAACAACTTTCAGAGAAAGCAAATTCAGATGAGTGAGGGCTACTGCTCTGCATGGCTGTACCCCAAACTCTGATACACACTGAGGGCTAAGGCCTTCCGAAAGGCAGGCTCCTCCAAGCCAGGTCACACCAGGAAATAACACTCCCCTGGGGAATGGGTAAAAATCCACCTCAGAACTGAGGCTGGAAAGCTAGATGCGGCAATAAGGGAAATTGCACTATTTTCACCAAACATCTAAAAGGCAAGACTCAAAAATCAAACCTGGTAGTAAACAAAAAAGCCCTTGAAAGGTGCATACCCTTATAACTCCTTTTTAATGTAAAGCTACAAAAATAAGAGACTGTGAGGGGCCATCTAAATCTGCCCTTTCCTTTGAAATGTTAAGGGGGAAAGAAGACTAAATTCTCTAGGCTAGAGAATAAAGAGGCCACACTGGCAAAAGAAACTCTTGAAGGTGACCTGTTTATTGGGTAGGGCTCAGCCACCCAGAACCATTATCCAAGAATTAGACAAGGTATAAAGAATAAAGCCTCAGTCTGGTATTGATGATAGGCCTGAGCACTATCCCTGACTTTTTTTGCTCAAGGCTGGCTCTCTACTACTAGAACTACAGCTCCATTTCCTGACTTTTGCTGGCTAATTGGCAATGAGTCTTAGGGACTTTTTTTTCTGCCTTGTGCTGATTTTGAGCTTGGATCCTTAGAGCTCAACCTCCTGAGGAACTAGGGGGGCTGAGATCTGAGGGTAGAGGTTCAAAGCCAGACTGAGAAAGAAAAGTCTGCAAGACTCTTACCTCCAACTAGCCAACCAAAAGCTAGAAGTGAACCTTTGGTTCTAGTGGTAGCATGCCAGCCCTGAGCAAGCAAGCAAACAAATAAATACAATGGGGCCCTGAGTTCAAGTCACAGAACTGGCACACATACAAAACAAAAAGCAAAAAATACACTTCCTTCCTGGATTCCAAGGTAATTGCTAAATGATTGTAAAGGAAACAGCTTCAAGACAGGAAAACACAGGCTGGAATGCCAAGTTGCTCCTCCTGCTTTTAGTTAATTTGTGGGCCCAAGAAAATAGTGCTTTTTAGCAATTTTTGTTATTAGTTAACTTTTGGCAAAGGTACTGCTAAGTGCCTGACACAGCTGAACCACTCAGGACAGACCACCCACCAGGCCACAAAGACTCCAGAGGTTTCTTCCCTCAATGAGGAAAATAACTGCTCCCTGGGAACTTTCTCATACTGAGATGATGAGCCAGCAGCCCCTGCTTTGACTATGATTGCTTTATAATTAAGCATACGTTTTACCCTCTTGCCCTAATCCTTTCTCCACTTCAACCTAAAGCTCAAGTTTTACCTGGGAAGATGGGCTGACATGTTCAGTTTCCTCTTCCTAAACCTTTCTGTGCATTTCACCATGGTAACTTGGGGCAAGTGTCTGGACCTGAACTGTACAGTGCTGGAGTTGAGCCTGGGGCCTAAGATTCAGGTTCACCTTAACCTGCTTGTCACCCTTTGCTGCCCCCAGCCTCTGCCTTTACTCCAGCTTTCCACACAGTCTTCTATTTGTGTTTTTTATCCTAAATACTCTCAAACTAAAATTCTTCATGAATTCAGGAAGATTGGGAATTTATTTTCACCTCAGTAGCTAGATTACAAGCATAAGCCACTGGTGTCCAGTTCAGATTTATGTATAAATGCTAGCGCTCTACTACTTGAGTCACAGTGCCACTTCCAGCTTTCTCTGCTTATGTGGTGCTGAGGAATGGTCGGAGGGCCTCGTGCATGCCAGCACTCTACCACTGAGCCACCCTCCCAGCCCTCAGATGTGAGTTTTTAAATGTCATAATCAGTGAGTTCTTGTCAAATTATACCTCCCCCTTCACTCACTGATAGGGTAAATTAGACTTTGCCAGAGAACCAAGCAGATATCCAGATACAGTAAATAATCAACTTCCAGCCCCCTTTACCTTGAGATGGCTCTTCTCCGGGGCAGCTGCCACCATATAAGGCAACAAGAGCCGCTAGAGTAACCTCCAGGTCTGGGCAGCTGCGGGACCCTTATCTACTATTTGGACAGCAGCCATAAATCCTAGTCCAACATGATGAAGCCCCTGGCCCACATGTCCACACCAGGGTCTTCGCCTCCTAGCCCCTTCTAGCCCCTCCTAAACCTCCCAGGTTCTATAGATCACCCCAGACAATAGCTGGTGCTGCTTCTCATTCCTCCCTTGTGAGAAGGAGTCTTGCTGGCCCCCCTCTCCAGGCAATAAACCTTTCTTTGTTCTCTGTACCTGGATGTCCGCGTGGTTTTCTAGCAAAGTCTATTTAATCTTCATTTGCTAACATTTACTGCATTTACTAAGTGGGCCTAGTGTTGCCTAGGATGGGAGCATGCTGAGCTGTGGAGAGGAGAAGTATACTAAACTATGGGAAGGGAGCTCATTTTGCTAACACTCACTTCTGATATAGATTAAGTAAATCTTACACGTGTTGCATAGATATTCCTCAGAAATATGTAGAGATAAACTAGCATTTACTGATCAAGTGCTGAAAGCCAGCATTGGGAAAGTATTTGGTGAGGACATTGACAGCCAACGAGCCACACCAGATCCTCTTGGGCCCCTGGAGTGCCTGGCCTTGTTCTCAGCACATACCAAGTTCCCACTGAAGGCCTCTCACTGAAGGCCTACTGACTATGCAAATACATCATTTTCTTTCCTTATTTAGGTCCAACTTGAAGGTCATCTCCAAGAGTAAAGTATCTTCCCTGCTCCTAGTAATGACCATGCCCATCTTTGAAACTCTAGCTCACAGTGCCACTTTGATTGTCAAAATTGTACAATATGAAATTGTAAGAAGAAGTCAGGTTTTGTTGTTTTGATATTTGGGTTTTTTGTTGTTTTTTAGTGCTGGTCCTGGGGCTTGAACTCAGGGCCTGGGTGCTATCCCCGAGCTTCTTTGGCTCAAAGCTAGTGCTCTACCACTTGAGCCACAACACCACTAACAGGTTTTTCTGAGTAGTGTATTGGAGATAAAAGTCCCACAGACTTAACTGCTCAGGTCAGCTTCAAACCATGAAGCACAGATCTCCTACTCCTGAGTAGCTAAGATTATAGGCATGAGCCACCAATGCCTGGCTTGCAAGATGGGGTTTTGATTCAATAAAAATTATACAATATGAAGTTGTAAGATATAAAGCAAGGCAGGTGCTGATGGCCCACACCTGCAGTCCTAGCTACACAGAAGGCTGAGAGCTGATCATAGCTTAAATCTTAGGCAGAAAAATCCAAGAGACTCTTAGCTTCAATTAAACAGCCAAAACCCAGAAGTGGAGCTTGGGCTCAACTGGTAGAGCACTAACTGTAAGCACAAAAGGCTAGGCAAGAGCCAGAGGCTCTGAGTTCAAGCCCTAGTACCAAAGCAAAACATGGTCATGGGACATGTGCTGTTAAGAGGAGTAGGGGGGCTTCCCCTCCTCTCTGTTCTAGCTCTCCTGGCCATGTTCCACCACATGCTCCAGTCACAGGCCCAGAATCAATGAGCCAATTTACAATACACTGGAACTCCCTCCCTCTCTTTCTCTCTCTCTCCCTCCCCCACCCCCAATACTAGCTTGAACTCAGGTCTCAAGTTTGTTAGGTAGGTGCTCTACCACTTCAGCCATGGCCTTAGTAAAACTTTGGTCCTTATAAGTTGATCATCTTGGGTATTTTTTTAATAGTTTTAGAAAGCTGAGTAATGCAAATCTTCTACTCTGCATCATTGATGAACTCACTCCAAAGGTTTGGATTTGTTTTTCATAGATTCTTACAGATTTCCTACAAAGACAATGCAGACAGTTCTGTCACATTTGTAGTTTGTTTTCTTAACATGTTGTAGTGGCTAGGCCTATGCTAATAAGAGTGCTAGTAAGTGTAGTGGCTAGGCCTATGCTAATAAAAGTGGTAAGAATGGTTGGTCATTGGCAATCCTTGCCTTGTTCCTAATCATAGGAAAACATAGCAGTCATTCACCATTAAGAATGATAGCTGGCCGGGCACCAGCGGCTCACACCTGTAATCCTAACTACTCAGGAGGCTGGGATCTGAGGATCACAGTTCAAAGCCAGCCCTGGCAGGAAAGTCTGGAAGACTCTTATCTCCAATTAAGTGGTGCTGTGGCTCAAGTGGTAGAGCACTTGCCTTGAGCCGAAGAGCTCAGGGACAGCGTCCAGGCCCAGAGTTCAAGCTCTATAACCAAAAAGAAAAAAAGAAAAAAATGATAGCTGGGTACTGGTGGGTCTAATTCTACTCTAATGGCCTAATTATACTCACGAGGCTGAGATGTGAGGATCACAGGTCAAAGGTAGCCCAGAAAAACAAATCAAAGACTCTCCAATTAACCAGCAAAAAACCAGAAGTAGAGGTGTGGCTCAAGTGGTAGAACACAGCCCTAAAAAATAAAAACAGAATATGGCTACTTTAGTTGTGGCCAAGATTGAGTGTGTGTTGTTTGTATTTATTTATTGGTACCAATACTAGGGCTTGAATTCATGGACTCAAATTCTTGCTTAGCTTTTCCCTTTAAGGGTAGAGCTCTACCACTTTAGCTATACCTTCATTTCTGCTTTTTTCTGGTTAACTGGAATGAGTCTCATAGACTTTTCTGCCTGGACTGGGTTGGAACTGTGATCCTTGTATCTCAGCCTTCTGAGTTACTAGAATTGCAGGTTGAGCTAGTAGCTACTAGTGAAGCCAAGATTTGATCACCAGTGCTAACTTTAAATTTTGTCCTCTCCACAAATTATAGATTTCTATTGCTATAATAGCCTTTAAAAAATAAAGAGTTGAACACTACTAACATTTCTTCCTAGTAAAATTTAAATATTTGGGAATGAGGTAGCATTTCAACTAAGAAGGGCAACGGAGGGAATAGAGAAAGGAGAGAAAATATCCTGTGTGGTTTATCATTTTTATTCCATATGTACAGCCATTCCCATTCTTTACATATCGCATACATATTCTTCCACAGCAACATCCTTGTGATTATACAATGGACACGTGAATGTTCCATTAAACAGCTCAGTTAGAGTTCTAATATGAAACTTGAGTTTTAGCTGAGCAAGCGCATGATAAAGTCATTCCAGGAAAGAAGGTACAAATGTCTGTGACCTTATTTGGCTTCCTAAAAAAATTAGCTGTCCAAAAAATTAATGAATTAAAGATATAAAACTTTTAAGTATATTTGAATGCAAATTTCTAATACGCAAGCAATAACTTTTATAAAACTAAAGCACTCCGCTGATTATTTCAAAGCTTTGCTTTAAGTCTATGAAGCACATCTCCAATGAAAAGATATAAAATAAGAAATGCTTCATATTTTAAACTGTAGTTATGCTCACAGCATTGGCAAAAAAATTAAACTAGTAAATGTTATAATGTTTTCTATTGAGCATAGAAAACTTCAAGGCATAATATTTTTAATACAAACTATGTCATCATATTTTAATTTTTTTAAACAGGAAGAGTGTTTCTACAAAGATCATAGAACCAAACAATAGAAGAACAAAGCTGAGGCTTATTCTGTGTTTCTTCCTGTTCAGAATCTCAGAGGAGGCACCCACATGGTGAATCCTGGAGGTGCAGTTCCAGGATGGCAGGGGGAAGTGACCAGTCCTGAGAGGTCACCAGGCTGGCAGAGTGAAAGGTCCCAGAGATCGTGGTGGTGGCACCTCCTTCTAAGCCCACGTTCAGCACCCCAGAGAAATGGGAGGGGGGAAAAAAAAAACAGTGTTTTCCCTAGCTGTGCCTCAGAGATAGTGTGTATGCTGTGAGATATACGGTTCTGTAAGAGTCTATACTAATAAAATATAACGAGTGCCTTATAAATACAGCTTCGACCTAGTCACACCGTGGTGAGCTACTTAAAAAGGTGATCCTGAATGTGACATCTGGGTTTATTTGAGCTCTGCCGGAGTCGATTCAGATGGAGAAGCTCCTGGGCCTGCAATATCAAGTACATACAGATAAGCATGACAATTTTAAATATGAAATTTTAACATTCATTTTAGATAGAAGAGTGAATGTATTTCTCACCTTTTGCCTGAGGATTATTCCTGACGTCTACACAGAAATCGAACATCCAATCCTACCTCCCAACACAAATCATGAATGGGAAAACATGTGCCCCAACTTTGACCTTGGAAGGTAAGGACAGAGCGCCCCCTTGTGGATGCTCACACTTCCCCACGTCACTGTCCCAGGCTGGAAAAGTCTCAGCTGACGCAGGGACCCAAAGGAACTAAACAGTGAGAGCACCCCCACCAGGCCACTCAGGCTGTGACCTATCGCATCCTCCTCAGATGGAGACTGGACTCTGTGTGCCACTTGTCGTTCCCCCCCACTACAAAATTCCTCCCCTTCACTAATGTGGACTTCAGAGAAGCACAGACAATCCAGCTGAGCGCCAGTGGCTCATACCTCTAATCCTAGCTAGTCAGGAGGCTGAGATCTCAGAATCGTGACTGGAGACAGCCCAGGCAGCCAAATCTGAGAGAATCTTACCAGTAATTGACCAGTAAATGCTAGAAGTGTAGAGGGCAGGCTCAAGAGGCAAAGGGCCAGCTGTGCGTGAAAAAGCAGTGAGAGTGAGACCCTGAGTTCAAAACAAACAAACCAATTAAGATGGGTTTGATGCCTCAGTCCTTTCACCCTAGCTAACTGAGAGGCAGAGCTGAGAAGATCATAGTTGGAGGCTAGCCTCAACAAAAAATTAGTGAAACCCCCATTTCAACCAATAAAAAGCTGGATGTAATGGTAAGAGCTTTTATTCCAGCTAAACAGGAAGCATAAATTGGAAGATGGAAGTCCAGGGTGGCCCAGGAACAAGCCCAAGACCCTTTCGGGAAAAACAAACCACAAAGGACTAGCAGCATGGCAACCAAGGGCAAGGCCCTGTGTTCAAGCAACAGTACTACCTAAACAAAACAAAACCCACCAAAAACGAAAACTAAATCACCAACAGGATCCAGCTACTCCACAACTGAGTATCCCTCAAGGGAACTGGACATTAGTACCTTCTGAGAGAAGTACACTCTGTGTTTGCTGCAGCATCATTCACAGTAGACAAACCATGGAATCCACTCAAGTTTCAATCCACAGAGAAACAGAGAAAATGGAGTGAGCATTCCTACAGTGTAATACTACTCAGCCATGGAAAGAAGGCAATTTTGTGAAAACATGGATGAACCTGAAAGGCATCAGGTGAAGTGAAATAAACCAGTCTGAGAAGGACAAATCCTTCAGGACCTCACTCATATGTGGGATCAGAAAAAGCCAAACAAGCAGCAGAGAGTAGCAGGGGCTGGGATTAACGGACAGAGAAGAGAGAGATGTTGGTCCTTCCTTTCCAGGAAGGATGAGTTCGAGTCACTGAGGTCCAGCAGGGTGACTACAGTGAGTGACAGGACACTGCACATTTCCCTAGCATGGGTGGCAGGGCTGGGGAAGGGCCCTCTCGCCCTGCCCAGATCTCAGGAGGAAGGACCACATCCATTGGTTCTCTTTGTGTACTCAAGACTCTTTAAACATCCATGTGGGTCAGTTTCTCTACAAGTACTCACTTGGAGGAGAAGACTCTGAAATAAAGAATAAGAACAGTGATTTTTCAGTTTAATTAAAAAAGATTAAATATTCACAGAATACAAACTTACTTAAAGTAGTAAAAACTAAGTCTGCAATACTTAAAACAGAAGAAGTCATAAAGCACTTTGAACTTTGTAAAGTTCCAAAGGGCACTTTGCTAATGTTGTTCTAGGTTATTTGTTTTGTGCCAATACTGGGGCTTGAATTCAGGGCCTGGGAACAATCCCTTGGCTTTTTCACTCAAGGTGGGCACTCTACCATTTCAGCCAAAGCTCCACTTCTCTCTCTCTCTCTTTCTCTGTGTGTGTGTGTGGGGGGGGGGGGGGGGGAGAAAGTAAGACCTTTGAACTGCAGTCCTCAGATCTCAGCCTCCTGAGTACTAAGATTAAGGTGGCATGTGTGTCACCAGTTCTAGCTGGGTTTGTTGTTGTTGTTTTTGAGTTGGGGTTTCACTACAGCAGCCCAAAGAGCTGCTTTGAATTTTAGATTCTCCTACCTCAGCTTCCTGAAGGCTGAGATTACAGGTGTGCACCTGGCTAAAAGGGCAGGGTATAATTGGTAGGTTCTATTCAACCAAAACAGCAAGCAGCTAGATATAGGAAATAAGGGAAGCCCTGTGAGCAGAGAGATCTACTCACAAAAAAGGAAACAAACACGAAACAAAAAATTCTCATCAAAGAAATGAAGCCCCATGAGAAAAATAAGTTGCCTAGAAATTAATAAAGCTGTGGAAACTGAACGCTAAATATATGCATAAATGAAACACACACATGTATCTATACTCCCAGCTACCCAGGAGGCAGAGAGCCAGAGGATGGTTTCAGGCCAACAAGCCAGGCCTGGTGGCGGTGATCCCAAACACAGGGAGGCATAGATAGGAGGATTGAGAGTTCAGGGAGCCTTGTATAAAAAGTCAAGATACTGTCTGAAAACTAAGTAAAGCACAAAGGACTGGGGTGTGACTCAAGTGGTAAAGCACCTGCCTGTGAGCACAAGGTCCTGAGTTCAAACTCTAGTAACTCTCCTCCCCACTCAAGAAACATGCATCATTTGGGGACGGTTAAAAATAAAAATGAGTCAGGCGCTGGTGGCTCACAAATGTAATCCCAGCTACTCAGGAGGTTGAGACCTGAGGATTGCAGTTTGAAGCCAGCTTGGGTAGGAAAGTCCATGAAACTCTTATCTCCAAGTTAGCACCAAGAAAAGCCAGAAGTAGAGCTGTGGCTCAAGTGACCCAGTATTAGCCTTGAACTAAAGAAGCTTAGGGACTGCACCCACGCCCTGAGTTCAAGCCCCAGGACTGGCACAAATAAATAAATACCAATGTGTTATCCTATCTAATTACAGAGAAAATTATAATGGAACATAGTCAAAGCTTTAGAAATGCTGATACTCAAGCAATTTTAAGTTTGAATGCAGCCTTCATGGGAAGAGAGAACTCTGTGCAGAACACTAAAACTGATATTATTGGGCACATTCTTTGTACTAAATGAAGTATCAAGATTTTCGACAAATAAAAATGTGAAGTCCAAGAAGTCATGGCTTTTGTTTTCTAATAAAGATGAAACAGCAAAATGGGCATGATTCTCATTTCCATGGGTAGCCTTAATAGTCCTGAGGATGTCTATAATTTCTAGATTCATGAGATACATCATGACAGGAAATCCATCTGCTGACATCACTGTTGTCGGAGCCCTGCATTAAGGGAGGCTCAGTCTGGGGTGCTCCTCACCTTGAGCTTTCTCAGAGCCTTCAGGAGCCTCTGCGTCTGGTGTTGCCTCTGCATCCTTGGGCGCTTGGGAGTCCCGTGTGGACTGAGAGGACGATGTCCTGGATGTCTTCGGGGTCTTTATGTCTGAGTCTGCCCTCTGTTGCTGTAACCACTCATCCTTATAGCCATTGCTGATAAGCTTGGAGAAGTTTGTTGGTGAATTGGTTTTTTGACCAGGCCTCCAAAAGAGAAAAATGAATGGTAAACATTAAAAGAAAATCTGATAGCTGGGCACTGGTAGCTCACACCTGCATCCCAGCTAATCCAGAGGCTGAGATCGAGGAATTAGAGACTCAAAGCCAACCAGGACAGAAAAAAATCCTCTAGACTCTTTCTCTAATTAACCGGTAAAAAGCCAGAAGTGGAGGTGTGGCACACACACACTGAACGGTATTCAGGGAACATAGTAATAAGTTAGATGCACAGCTATTTCTTGCTCTAGTGTTCTTTCTCCCTCTCTCTCTCCCTCTCTCTATGTATCTCCCCATCCATCCATCCATCATCTACTTAGCTATCCCTTGTCTGTCTTTTTTTTCTCCCTCTCATTCTGAGCCCAGTAATTATTATAACTTTTTCACCCATTTGATGAGACGCTATGTGAAGGATCAGGCAATTCACGGTATTTATTCTGACACTAAACAAGAATTCTGGGAGTAAGGAGATAAAGAAGACCCTGGGGATTTCCTCTCTAGCAAGAAAATCAACAAGGGGCATCCAAGAGCTGCGGATGGGATGGAGCCAGAGGGCTCCAGGCTGAGGCCCAGGGGACAGAGAACACCAGCCCGCAGCACAGGAGCACAGGACTGGGGGGACATGACCCAAACGCGGACCTGCGCAGCACAGCCCATGGACGCTGAGGGGAGCGCTGTGAGGACGGGCCCAGAACGGGCCTGGAGCCGGCGGCCAGGCCGGGCTGCGCGGGAGGGGGGGTGGGGGGGGCGGCGGCAGGGCCGGGGCTGCAGCAAGGCCGCGGGCGGATGCCGGCGTGCTGGCGCTGTCCTGCTGTGCTCAGGGAAGAGGGACTAACCCCACCCCTCCTGGCCTGCTGGTCAGGCAGCTGCTCACGCACATGGGAGGGAAGGAGAGCCGGCTTCCCGAGGATTCTTTGGAGCCCGTCGGGGTCCCCGCTTTGCTGGAGTGCTTTGCGTGGATGGCGGGCAGCTTCACCTGTGTGGACAGATACAACGCAAACGCCAATCTCACCCACAGCACGTGCGGGACCGGACCTCTGCTGGGAACAGTCACACCAAGCCAGGCCAGCGCGAATCCCATTCCACGGAAAGCCTTGGCGAAAGGGGGCGCGGGGTCCGGAGCAGCTGCTGGCCAGGCTCTGCCGGCTCACAGCTGAGATCCCAGCCACTCGACGCTGAGATCTGAGGATCGAGGTGGAAACCAGTCTGCGGAGACAACCTTACCTCCCATTAACCAGCAAAAAGCCAGACGTGGAGCTGTGCCTCACTCACAGAATGCCAACCATGTGCAAACAAACAAAAACAACCAGGAGCATAAGGGATTGAGTTCAAGCCCCTGTACCAGCACGTGCACGCACACGCACGCACACCCACCCACGCACGCGCACGCACACAAGCAGTTGCTATATCCAAATAGCCATGAGAGGCAGACTGCACCTTGATCCACAATGAAATACAATTCACCAATACAAGGGAGTAGAGTAGACACAGCTGGCTGTTTCTAAAATGCACTAGGGACAAAGGACTATAAACTCTGATACCATGAATTGATGCTCTGGAAAAATTACAAGGAATGAAAGCAGCCAGGTGTCTTAGGAGCTGGGAGTTGGGAGGGGTTGGCTCCAAAGGAGCTGAAAAAATGGGAGGGGGGAGCTGATGGAATTCCTTTGTACCTCAGTGGTAGTTTCATAATGTATGCCTTGTTACAACTTGTAGAGCAGGTGAGCTTTGCTGCACATAAATTACACCTTATTTAAAAAGAAAAAACCTCTATATCACCTTTTTTTTTTTGTCAGTTGTTGGGCTTGAACTCTGGGCCTGGGCGCTGTCCCTCAGCTCTTCAGCTCAAGGCTAACCCTCTACCAATTGAGCCACAACACCACTTCCGGTTTTTCTGGTGGTATATTGGAGATAAGAGTTTCATGGACTTTCCTGCCCAGGCTGGCTTTGAACCGCGATACTTATATCTCAACTTCCTGAGTAGCTAGGATTACAGGTGTGAGCCATCAACGCCCAGCTTCTATATCACTTTTATAATAACAATTTTAAAAAAACTAAAAAGAAAAAGAAAAACAGAAATAAATAGAGTCCAGCACCCATGGTTCACACCTGTAATCCAATCTACTCAGAAAGCTGAATTCTAAGAATCAAAGTTCAAAGCCAACCCAGGCAGAAAAATTCTGTGTGACTCTTATCTCCAATTAACAATTAGCAAAATATCAGAAGTAAAGTGTGGCTCACGAGTTTAAGGGATAGTGCCCAGGGCCTGAGTTCAAGCCCTAGTACTATTACAAGAAATATTTTTTAAAAAAATCCCTTCCAAGATGGGAGGGCAGGGATGGTAGGGGAAACAAAGGAGGAGGCAACAATGCTTGATAAGAAATGTACTCATTACCTCGCTCATGTAATTGTAACCCCTCTGGTACAGTATTTTCACAATAAAAACATTTAAAAAAAATCCCTTCCAATTCCCAGTCACCCAGCAAGTAAGCAAGAATCCCAGGAATGCTGGTAACCAGCAGTGAGGAGCACATCTGCCCTAAGAACAGGCTGGTGTACAGCACACCCCAAAGACAGCCTGGGTGAGGCAAGGGAAGTGCTGGCTTCCCACCCCTCCCTCACAGGCAGCAGCACAGGGAGGCAGCAGCTGGCTAGGTCCATGATTTCATTCTCATTTAAGGTTCTTACTATCTAGGCCAAGATGTCTTGCAAGACCCAGGAAGGAAATACAAGAACTGCTATAATTGAACACACTCCACATCGCCCAACACTGTGTGCCTTCTGCTGGACATAATCAGCATGGGTGTCTCCAAGTCAGTCATCTACCTCCTTGATGTGGTGGGGGTGGACAGGCTGGCTCTGGGCATTTGTGCAGTTTGTCTTAAGTGACTACACTAAATCGGTCATTCATTTGGTTTGGTGGTGATATAGCATTTAACGCTTTTGCATTTCTCTAGCTTTGCGCAGTAATGGGATTTAGCATCTAAAAACCCCATTTATTGCCTGAGCCCTTACACTAAGAAATAGGCCTGGGCCTTAGAGAGTCCATTTACAACGTTCATGCAAGTGACCCAAAGCCCAAGTCACCACTTGACAGCAGGACAGCTTGACAAACAAACAAATGGCCTGTTCTAGCCAAGAGATGCTGAATCTGGCACTCACCCCAACACTCAGTCGACTGAGAGGTTTCTCTCTACACCAGGACACAGGGGTGTCAGGCATGGGAGCCAGGAGTGGTATATACCCATCATCTCTTCACTATTCACGTAGACAATGGTGTTCATTCTTATTCTCCATACCAAAAGCACCATTGTTATTTTTTAATACTCATGTCATCACTTCGCTCACAGATCCAGCTGGCTGAAGCACTACATCTAATTTCAGACCTTGCTACACCCAGTTGTGGGCCCTGAAAGTCCTGCGAGACTCTAAGAGGAGGCCAGGGGATAGAAGAACTTCTAATCAAGAGGTCACAACCCATCTACCAGTCAGGGTGTTCTTGAGGTTCCCCTTGGAGAGACAAATGTTCCCTGGGATTGTGTCCTATTTCCAGAGAAATTTAATTTAACTATAAATAAAACATGTAAAGATAATGAATACAAAGCCTGGCACTGGAGACTCACACTTGTAATCCTAGCTACTCAGGAGACAGAGACCTGAGGATCACCATTTGAAGCCAGCCTGAACAGAAAAATCAGTGAGATTCTTGTTTCCGATTAACTAGCAAAAAGCCAGAACTGGAGCTGTGGCTAAAGTGGTAGAAAATCAGCCTTGAGTAAAGCTAAGATAGAGCATACACCTGAATTCAAGCCTAGTATGGGCACAAAAAGAGAAAGGTAATAAATACATATTAAATTACCTTCCTATAATGCTAGGTGACATGTGTTATACATTTCCTCTAGGTAAGTATTCACTAGTTAAAAACCACTTTAAAAATGCAGAAATAAGCCAGACACTAGTGGCTCATACCTGTAATTCTAGCTACTCAGGAGGCTGAGATCTGAAGATTACAGTTTGAAGCCAGCCCAGGTAGGAAAGTCTGTGAGACTCTTATCTCCAACAAACTACTTAAAAAAGCTGGAAGTGGCGCTGTGTGGCTCAAGTAATGGAGCATTAGCTTTGAGCACAAACAGGCTTAGCGACAGTTCCCAGGGCTTGAGCTCAAGTCCCAAGTCCCAAGACCGACCAAAAAAAAAAAAAAGCAAAAGTAGCCAGGTACCAGTGGCTCAGATATATAATCCAAGCCACTCAGGATAGTTCAAAGCCAGCCTGGTCAGAAAAGTCCTCATAGACTCTTATCTACAAATAACCACTCAAAAACAGGAAATGAAGTTGTGGCTCAAAGTAGTAGAGTGCTAGTCACAAAATTGATCAGGAGCAGCGCCTAGGCCCTGATTTCAAGCCCCATGACTGGTTGGAGAACTAGATTCTGCTTATTGTATAATCTATAATTATCCAATAAAATATATTATAAGCAAAAAAACCCCAAAACTATGTTCTGCCCCATAAAACCAATGATTGGAAAAGAAAAATATAACTGGACTATGGCTACTCGCACTGTAGAGATCCACACTTAAAATGAGGACCATGTCAGCAGACACACCAGAAGCAGTAAACAGACACACATGCAATCATTTAGAGAGTCCCAGGAGGAAAGCAGCAGCAGGTGACATACATAGATGAGTTTCTGTCACCTTTTTTTTCTCCTCAAGTTCCTCGGCCTCTCTTTGCCAAACTGTTTTCATGTCAAAATCGAAGGGGCCTCTTCTGGATTCGTAGCTCCCGTTGGCCTGATTGGGGTTGAATTCTTCATACACCATGTAATCTGGCATGGAGACCACAGGGACTCTGCAGGAACAGCTGGGTCAGTTACAGCCTTGCTGGCCCCTTCTCCCCTGCCCTCCTTTCTCTTGGCTTCCCTGAAGACACAGGTGGGCCTTGCCTTTCTGCTCTTGGGGAACAAATAGCTCAGCCCCTTTCCAGTGCCAGCTTGCAGAATTTCACTAAAATATTATCTACTACTTTGCCCCCTTCAATGAGCTAAAGGCTCTCCTAAATATGTACCACTATGATCCTCTCAGATAGCAATGGCCTGCTTGTTTTCTGTGACATGGCCATTTACAATATGGGTACTTGAACTTCCAACTGGTCTTCGGATCAGTGACAGAAAGGAGTCAACCCTAGAGTTGCTGGTCCCCTTTCAAGCAGGTTCTAATCCATTCTGCTTCTTTTTGTTTCTTTTCTAAGCTTAGCACAAAGAATTGCATTTTTTTTAAAGCAGGGGTTGGAGGTATGGCTCAGGTAGAACACTAGCCAATGGGCAAAAGCATCAGGTACCAAGTTCATGTCCCAGTCTTGGACCTAAAAACAAAGCAGGGGAAGAGTCTAATATTACATGTTTCAGGCATGCAATAAATTTTGTATATTCATTTTTTTTTGTCAGTCATGAGGCTTGAACTCTGGGGCTTAGCACTGTCTCTGAGCTCTTCGGCTCAAGGCAAGTGCCCTACCACTTGAGCCACAGCACTACTTCAGTTTTCTGGTGGTTAATTGGAGATAAGAGTCTCATGGACTTTCCTGCCCAGGCTGGCTTTGAGCTGTGATCCTCAGATCTCAGCCTCCAGAGTAGCTAGGATTACAGGCATTAGCCACCAGCACCCAGTGTGTCTATTCATTTTTTGTTAAAAATAAAAATGGGTCAGAGGCTTGGCTTAGTTGGTAGAATGCTAGCAATTGAGTAAAAGCATCAGGTACAGAATTTGAGTCCCAGGCTTGGACCTAAGAAAAGATGGCAGAGGGAAGAGTCTAATATTACATGCCTCAGGCATGTAATACATTTTGCATATTCATTTTCTTGTGAAAAATAAAAACAAGGGGTTGGAGGCCTGGCTCAGTGGGTAGAATGGCAGCCAATGAGTGAAATCGTCAAGTACCAAGTTGAAGTGCTGGTATAGGACCTAAAAAAAGAAAAAAGAGAAACAAAAGCTGGGCATGGTGGCTAAGGCCTGCACTCTTAGCTACTTGACAGACTTAGAATGATTTATGGTGGTTTTATATTACAGGCAAAAAAAAGTCAGAAAGCTGCCTAAAATTAATTTTCATTTCCTTCTCAGTCCAGAAGAGGTGGGCTGGAGGATTGAGGCTGCCTAGTGACAAACAGGAATTCTTAGAAGCCTCAATCACATTGGTGAACAATGGCTTTGCATGGCCCTGCAATTATAGAAATTTAGTGTTGCTTGTATTTCTGGCACTACCTATGACTCTCATCTGTAACAAGAAGAAAGCTTTGGGGCAGACTGCTATTTTATGGCAGGTACATGTGACCATGTCTACTTCCTGACCGGCAGCTTAGAGACCCACACAAAATGCTCCATGATTGCCCATCTCTGCTTTTCTCGCAGCTTATGTTCCCCCACAGTGCTGGTAAAATAGTACCCGGACTTTCGTAACCAAACTTGTCCTCAGTTGAAATTTAAATTTTAACTTGTGTTGGGTGCCAGCATGCTTCACACCTGTAATCCTAACTACTCAGGAGACTGAGATCTGAAGATCACAGTTCAAAGCCAACCCAAGCAGGGAAGTCTATGAGATTCTTATCTCAAATTACCAAAAAGCTGGAAGTGGTAGAGCATCAGCTTTGAATGAAATTGCTTTGGAATAGCAGCGTCACAATTAATCTATTGAATTTCAACTTGAACTATTCCCCCCAGATCCCTTACACACACAAAACGTGGCTGCTTCAAGATACTTACTCGCGCTGCTGGGCGGTAGCAGGCTTGCTGTGGTGGATATACCAGTCTGGCAGGGAGTAGGTCACAGGAGAACCTTTCCTGCTCCCAGGAACAAAGTGGGTCAGCAAATCTCAAAGAGAAAGGGACAGAGCTGTGTGTGATCCTGCTGTCCTGTGTGGTATCACTAGCCCTCACCAAGGGGAGCTGTGCCATCGCCCTGGGGTGGCCTCTGGGCTGAGCCACTACCAGAGCATCTCTGAGGCTCCCCTGCCTTGGCACAGGCAGACAACTGAGGATCCTGTTTGGCCTCAGACAGGAGACATTGCTCATGCACCCCCCACCCCCACCCCCTCCCTCTCTAGCATGGATCTGTATAGTACATCTCAGCCATAGTCCCCACTGGCATGCAGTCTCCACAGACATAATTTCCCAGAGCCCATGCTTCCATTCTTCCAGTGCTTGCTGCTCCCCAACCCTTGGCGGCTCTCCCAGGCCAGTCTCCCCTCACTGTCCTCCTTCTCCAGCTGCTTCCAGGAAAATCTGCCCTCCCCAGGCTCCCAGATGGTGAGTCCCCAGGAGGGATTTAATCATTTAATTTGGAGCCAACTTGGGAGGCATAGCACATGGGCTCCATCTCAGACTCAGGCCAGCTCCAGACACATGAGCCCAGCTTTCTGACTCCGGTCCCTCTCCTCCTGGCTATCAAAGGGCAGCTGGTAGAGCTGGAGGCATGGCTCAGTGGTAAAAGTGCCTGCTTTATAAGCACAAGGCCCCGAGTTAAAAACCCCAGTACCATGGATATTTAATTTCCCATTTTGCAGCTTGAAAACCTTTTTCATAGTTTAATACTTTAAACTTAGAGAAAACTTAGAGGAATAAGATGAATTCTTCTATACCTTCCAACCAGACTCTCTCAGTGCTACTTCATTATACTTGATTTCTTTCTCTGTCTGCCTCTCATTACTGTTACTGTCATTATAGTACTTCACACTGTTGGGCCTGTTTTGCAGAAGGCCACAACTCCACCTCTGGGCTTTGGTGGATGTATTCAAGACAGTTCTCATGTCATCACATTGTGATGACCAAACTCAGAACATGGGCAGTGATGTAATACTCCCATCTCATTTTAGGTATTACCAAATTTGGCCAATTTTTCCACTAATTTTATTTTTTGACCAACAGCAGGGGGAAGTGGATCTTAAAAAGAGATGTCTAGCCCTTGTCCCACCTGCTGCAAGCCTAATCAATCAAGAGGATTGGTCTGGGTATTTACTTATTTTTGTGTCACTACTGGCACTTGAACTCAGGGCTCCCATTCTTGCTTAGCTTTCTTGCTTAAGGCTGCCACTTAACCTTTTGAGCTATACCTCCACTTCTGGCTTTGTGATGGTTAATTGGAAATAAGAGTTTTCCCAGGCTGGCTTTGAACTGTGATCTTCAGATCTCAGCATTCTGAGTATTTAGGACTACAGTCATAAGCCACCAATGCCCAGCTTGGTCTAGATTATTTAAAATTGAAACTATGGAAATCTTATTCCCATCTTCCCTAGGATATTCTGAGCAAGGGTAATGGCACCCAGAGGAGAAATAGTGTCTAGATGTCATCTACCCCAAAGGTAGACTGTGTCGTCCCTTAGCCCTCTGAATGTCTATTGAACTCAGTATGCCTCCATCTTTAGTATGGTCAAATATTTAGTGAAAAATCTTGTATAAAAGTTGATTTTCATCAAAGATTGCACATATCCTAACATACTCATGAGCCTAAATTCCCAATGGCATTTGGCAAAGGTTAGAGCTTTTTATAATAGATTCTTGGGAGACTTGAAGTTTGAATTTAGGGCCTAAGCACTTTTGAGGCCGGTGCTCTACCATCTGAGCCACACCTCCAACTCCTAGAGCAAATTTTTACACAGATGAGATGAGGAACAATGTCCCCTCCTTGCTTTCCATGATGGAGCATGCTAGGGGCTTACCAGGTCTGCCACCTTGCTTTGCAAGCTTCACGTATTCCGAGTCTGTTTCTTTTATCCAGTACCTCCGCATCCCAGGCAAGTGCCCATTTTGTGAGTCGCCCAATTTGCTGAGCCCTGGAATCTGAGATGCTGGTGGGGCATCCATGGCCTTCTCAGAGCGCTTCGCAGGCAGGTGGTAATACCAATCTAGATAGAAGTGAGGCCAGCTCACTGCCATGCTGGGCTGCAGGACAGCCACGCAGAGGAGGGCTCTCTGGTCCTTCCCCATCTGTCTGCTGTGGATATCACTGCACAAGCCACACAGCAACAGAGCCAGTTTTTCTGTGTGCTGGTACTTGGGCTTGAACTCAGAGCCAGGGTGCTAACCCCTTAGCTTTTTCACTCAAGGAGGGTGATGCTCCACCACTTGAGCCTCAGCTCCACTTCTGGTTTTTGCTGGCTAATGGGATTTACAATCTCAGGACTTTCAAACTGGTCCTTAGATCTCAGCCTCTTGACTAGGTACGATTCCAGATGTGAACCCCCGATGCCCAGCCATGGGATATGATTTGATAAACATACTGCATTGAAACACTGAGATAAACCAGGTACTGGTGGCTCACACCTGTAATCCTAGCAACTCATGAAGCTGAGATCTGAGGATGATGGTTCAAGGCCAAGCAGGAAAGCTTGTGAGACTCTTGTTTCCAATTAACTACCCAAAAGCAGGAAGTGGAGCTGTGTCTCAAGTGGTAGAGCATTAGCCTTGAGCAAAAAACGTTCAGGGATAGGGCTCATGCCCTGAGTTCAAGCATACTGGTATATACACAAGAAGGAGAAGAGGAGAAGGAGGAGGAAGAGGAAGAGGAAGAGGAAAGAGGAGGAGGAGGAGAAAAGAAAGAAAGGAAGAAAGAAAGAAGAAAGAAAGAGAAAGAAAGAAGGAAGGAAGGAAAGAAAAGGAAGAGGAAGAGAAGGAGGAAGAAAGGGAGAAGGGGAGGGGGAAGGGGAGGAGGAAGACGAAGGAGGCGAAGGAAAAGAAGAGGAAGAAGTAGAAGCCCACTGAGATATAAACTGTGTTACAGAAACAACAGCCTGATTGAACATGTTTACCCATTTTCTTAGAGCAGCAGAAAGCAGATCAGGGTGAGGCCAAGATGCCCCACCTATTGAAGAGCAATACTGAGAAGCCACCGGCCAGGCCACCTCCCATGCTGCCTAGTGCCCACACCGGCCTCTGGCAGTGGCTCTACTAAAAACTGTAGAGGCCACAGGTGAAAGGTGTCAGGGTCTGGTGTCCACTGAAGAGAGCAAGGAGGGAAGGATGAGGTGCTTACTTGCCCAGACTCATCATAGGTTAGGGATAGCATTTTAAAGATCCCTAAGGACTGTTTAGTGGGAAAGATTGAGTTGAAGCATGATGATTATAAATGGTAGGATTTTTCTCATCAAGAAGAAACTGGGTGCAGTAGCTCAGGGGAAACAGAAAGGAGAAGGAAATGGAGGAGAGCTTGTCCTCTGACCTCCATGGTGACGTGGGCCCCATGCAGGAAAAAAGAGGAGCTGAGCATGGGCCCAGTGGGGTAAGGAGGCTCTCCAAGCCTTGAGGGGATGGTGCCTAGGATAGATGTTGCCACCCAGCTGAGGACCAGCCACGAGACTCCCTGGAGGGATTTAGTCACAGGCTGGGGAGCTCATATCAAGAGCTAGAGGGAGCTTGGTGCTGGTGGCCTGTGATTCTAGCTGCTCAGGAGGCTGAGATCTAGGGATTGTGGTTCAAAGCCAGCCCAGGCAGGAAAGTCTATGAGACTCTTATCTCCAGTTAACCACCAGGAAACTGGAAATGGATCTGTGGCTAAAGTAGTAGAGTGCTAGCCTTGAGCAAAAGTACACATGGACAGCACCCAGGCCCTGACAAAAAAGAACTAGATGGGTTAGCAAAAATCCCAAAGGCCTAGAGTTATTAGTACTTATTTATGACCTCACAGAGAGAAGAGATGTGGGGCGTTCAGGCTGTGGGTGCTTCAGATAATTCCTTCCACCTGAAATGAATTAGGCAGATGCTCGAAATAAGAGCCCACAAACTATTTTACAGCTGATTGAACACAAAATCTAGGAAAAGCAAAATAAAAAGGTATAACTCATGTGGCACACTCACTGGGTGTATTTAATAGCATCTATCAGCATGTACTGACATAGATTTAGAAAACTCACAATCAGACACAATGCCTGGTGTGTGGTAGATGGGATGGCAATTTTATGTGTTCATTCGGCTGGAGCACTGTACCTACATAACAGACATCATTCTAGATGCATTTGTGAAGGTAATTTTGAGATGAGATTCATACTTAAGTCAGTGGACTTTGAGCAAAGCAGATGGCCCTCCAAAATAGGGATGAGCCTAAATTTAACAGTTAAGGTCTAATTAAAAAGAATGCGATCCCCCAAGGGAGAGTGAATTCTGCCTGCAGATGGACTTCAAATCTGAAATGCAACTTATTGCCTCCCCTGGTCTCCAGCTCACCACAGATTTCATATTTGTTATTCTCTACCCATGAAAACCAAGTCTTTAAAATAAATCTCTGGGCTGGGAAGGTGGCTCAGTGGTAGAGCACTTGCCTTGCATGCATGAGGCCCTGGGTTCGATTCCCCAGCACCACATAAGCAAAAAGGAAAAAAAGCCAGAAGTGGCACGGTGGCTCAAGTGGTAGAGTGCTAGCCTTGAGCTGAAGAACTAAGGGACAGCACCCAGGCCCAGAGTTCAGGCCCACGACTGTACCCCCCAAAAAACCCAAAACAAACAAACAAAAAAACAAAATAAATCTCTGTGTGTGTGTGTGTGTGTGTGTGTGTGTACACGTGCGCTAAATGTGCTGGCTGACCAGGATTCTTCAGAAGCAGAGTACTGAATATACCAATTAACCATAGTACACAAACCAAGTCATCCTGTGAATCTTTCTGAAAGTTTAGCATTGACTTTGTACTTGGAACCACAACTGCATGAAAATGAGTGGTATTTAACCTGGAAAATCTTTTAAATAACTGAAGGATACTAACCAGATAAATCGGCTCCTTTCTTAAAAAGAAGAAAAAGAAGAAAGGAGAATGAAAAAAGTTTAGAAAATGGCACAAAGATCAGAGAAAATCAATTTAAGGATTAGGAATCAGAGTTTAACAGCTCAAATATTCCTCCTTTAGAAGAAGGGCATTCAGTTTGTACTTTATTTTTCCTCTCTCTGTTTTGCTTACTAATTAATCCACAGAGAACAGTGTGTCTCCTATCCTCTCATTACTGGAAGATTTGGACAGGCATTGAATTCTAATCCATCTCTAAATGTATGCAAAGGAGGAGAGCTCATAAGTGAGGGCTCAAGTTAGAAATAACAAACTCTCACAACCTAACAGAGAGACAGACAGACAGAGACAGAGACAAAGACAGAGAGACAGAAACAGAGAGAAAGTTAAAGGGATCTTTTAGCTTTTATCACATTTGTATAACATTAGACCATTTACTGTCTGATTGCTTTTCTTTCTATGACTTTCCCTTCATACTCATAAGCTGTATAGTAGCTTATTTTCGTGTGTGTGTGTGTGTGCGCGCGCGTGTGCGCGCCAGTGCTAGGTGCTGTCCTTCAGTTTTTTTTGCTCAGGGTTAGCACTCTACCATTTCAACCACACCTCTACTTCCTGATCTTTGCTGATTAATTGGAGATAAGTGTCTTACAGACTTGTCTGTGATCCTCAGATCTCAGCCTCCTGTGTAGCTAGAATTACAAATGTAAACCACCAGTGCCTGGCTTCCCTTATTTGATCATTGAAGAAATACAGACTATTGAGAAAGAGAGTCAAACTTAAGATCACCTTGCTCTTCTGGTGCTGCTTTATCTAGTCTGTGAAGCCTCAAACAGCTTGGTGTATAATATATGCTGCAGTTTCCTGGTCAAAAAATAGGATGGCAATCCCTGAGAGGTGTCTAGTGAGGTTCAATGTACAAGTGTATATAAAGTACTGGGAGCAGTGCCTGGCACATGTTAGTATCTATTAGTGGTGTTCATATAGATGAGACCTCTACCTAAGGCATCAAGAAATCACATACACCGGGCACCGCTGGCTCACACCTGTAATCCTAGGTAGGTACTCAGTACACTGAGATCTGAAGACTGAGGTTTGAAACTAGCCAGGGCAAGAGAGTCACTGAAATTCTTATTTCAAATTAATTACTAAAAAATCTGGAAACAGAGCTGTGTCTCAAATGGTAGCATACTAGCTTTGAGCACAAAAGCTTAAGGACAGATCTGGAGTTTGAGCCCCAGGACTGGCACAAAAAAGAGAGCAAGGAGAGAGTGGGGGAACAAATCCCATGAAGCTGTGCATAGTGGCTCATGCCTGAAATCCTAGCTACTGAGTTCTAAAGATCCCTGTTGGAGGCCAGCATGGGCAGACAAAACTGGAAGTGGAGGAGTGGCTCAAATGGTAAAGCACCAGTCTTTAGCAAACATGCTCAGCAAGAAGAGGCCCTGAGTTCAAGCCCCATTATTGAGAGAGACAGACAGAGATCTAGATCGATCACAGGAAGACAGGAAGGCTCCAAAAGCCAAAGCAAGAGATATGAACAGGCCAGACCTGATGAACAATGCACCACCCCCAACTGGGTTTCCAGCACAGCCATGGCACCACCAACATTGGTCACAGTCAGCGCCCTGACTGTGCAGTTAAGTATGGAAGGGTCATATTTTGTTTTCCTTCTGAACAGACTGTGCAGATGCGGTTGGCTCAACTGATCCCTCTCAGCTTAGCCCTCTTCTCTACTGTCTGTCTCCAAACCTTCTGACTATGCAGAGTAAAAACAAAACCAACAAATAAAAAATGAAAGACAGCATATGAGGCTTCTTCCTTTCCCTCTCAGCTTCAAACTGTGTAATAAGAAGCCCTGGACTTCCACCGGATTCGCCTTTCTCGTATCTAGCTGTTTGAAGCAAGAAACATTTAATTTGGTTGAGTCCTAAATTAGAAACAAAAGCTAGGGAGTCAATGGGGCTGTGCAGCTGAGAAAGTTCCTTAATCAACATTCAGGAAAACAGCATGAGCGTTACACTGGGTTAATTTACGACCCAAACATTTCCAAAAGGTTCTTATCCATAGCACCAAACCAAAAAAAAAAAAAAAGGGAGGGAGTGACGGGGGGGGGGGGGGGGGGGGGCGGCGGCTCGGATCGCTCCAACAACCCCCAATCCACACTCACCGCAGGGAGCGTAGCGGTGAGTGGTGCTCTGCACTTCCTTGCTGGTATTCCTCATGGCCTGGCGCTGGGAGCACTTCCAGAGGAGCCCGGGGTTCTGGGGTTAGCTGGGCTCTGCCGGCCCCACCCGCTGGTAGCTGCTGCCGAAGAAGCGAAGTCCACGCCCCCTCCCCGTCTTCCGGCCTCCACCTGACACACCTGCACACGCCTCCGGATCGGCGAGCAATGCACATACACGCAGGGCACGCTGGAGGCAGAGCAGGGGCGATCAGGCCGGAGGCACAGCGGGCAGGGGGTACGGGGCACGGGGCTCAGAGGGCAGGGGGCACAGCGGGCAGGGGGCAGGGGGCTCGGGGCTCAGAGGGCAGGGGGCTCAGAGGGCAGGGCGTTCAGGGGCGCGGGGCACAGGGGCGCGGGGGCACAGGGGCACGGGGCACAGGGGCACGGGGCACAGGGGCACGGGGCACAGGGGCGCGGGGGCACAGGGGAACGGGGCACAGGGCCGGGGGCACAGCGGGCAGGGGGCAGGGGCTCGGGGCTCAGAGGGCAGGGCGTTCAGGGGCACGGGGCACAGGGGCACGGGGCACAGGGGCACGGGGCACAGGGGCGCGGGGCACAGGGGAACGGGGCACAGGGGAACGGGGCACAGGGCCGGGGGCACAGCGGGCAGGGGGCAGGGGCTCGGGGCTCAGAGGGCAGGGCGTTCAGGGGCGCGGGGGCACAGGGGAACGGGGCACAGGGCCGGGGGCACAGCGGGCAGGGGGCAGGGGCTCGGGGCTCAGAGGGCAGGGCGTTCAGGGGCGCGGGGCACAGGGGCACGGGGCACAGGGGCGCGGGGCACAGGGGCGCGGGGCAGAGCGGGCACGGGGCTCAGAGGGCAGGGGGCACAGCAGGCACGGGACACAACGGGCAGGAGGCACAGCGGACACGGGACAGCCCGACACGCAGTTTGCTGGGTCCCATGCATGCCGGGCACACGGTAGGGGCGCGTCGCGACGGGTAACCAGCCGGGGCCACGCACGCAGGGTAGACCGCAGGTGTACCAAGGTCCAGCTTGAGGTCTCCACCGATTCAGGGCAGTGCCAGGGTTCACCTTCTCGCCGAGGTTCCCGGACGTGCGACCTGTGTGCCACCTGCAGCTGGAGTTTGTCCCGGGCGGGCGGCGGGGGCCAACCCCAAACTCCCAACGCAACGCGGAACCTCCACAGCACGCGTCTCCAGGGCAACGGCCGAGGGGCCGGCCGGCGGGCGCGGCGGGAGTTCTGCAAGCCAATAGGGACAGCAGCAAGCGTGACAGTAAGCCAATCAGAGCCGGGCATAGCGCGCAACCGCAATCTGCCAACTGCCGGGAGCCGCGGCGGAGCACCTTTGGTGCTGGGGGCGTGGCGAGACCTGATGGGGCGGGGACACGGGCCGGCTGACGTAGGGGGCGGACTTAGGGGGCGGGACCAGAGACGGGCGCTGGAGGTGCGGCCAGGGCTGGCGCTTGCGGCTCCTGCCGTTCGCCCATGAAAACGAGTTACTTCTGTAAACCTGGAGCGTCTACCACCATGTTTTCCAGGAAACAGTCTCACCTTAACAAAGAACATTAGTAACTGAAAATATTATGAGTCACACTTCACAAAAATGGAGATTATCTGCATGTGCTTGATAGGGCCAATAAGAGCTTTGACCCAATTCCGTGGGAGACACTTTTGTTACCCAGAAGGTTTCATATGAACCTGTCTCAATAGTGGGCATCATTACTCATCACTTGTGCTAATTACTTGTGAGAGTGAGGGATAAATGATTGGAGCATCAAAGAAACACAAGACCTTGACTTCAATCCTTGTGTGTGTGTGTGTGTTTGTAGCACCAAGAAATTAATTCATTTCCAACAACTGAGATAACCCTGAGTAGCCTTAATTTTTTTTGCTAAAATTTTTATTTTTTAATCAAGACATTTTAGCCAGGCATCAGTGATGTACACCTATAATACTAGCTACTGAGGAGATTCAATGCCAGTCCAGACATACAAGGCTATGAGACCCTTATCTCCAATTAAGCAGAAAATAAAAACAAAAATACAGAGATGGTATGGCTCACATTATAAAGATTCTGATGTGAGCTCAAGGTCCAGTACCAGGACAATAAAAATGACTTTTTTGGCTTACATGGATATTTGACCAGGTAAGCAATACAAAGTGCTGTTTCGGTTATGCAAGTATCACCTTGGAAATCAAGTGAAAGATAATATCAATGTGCAACAAGGATGAACACTGACTGTATTTTATCTAGCTGTAATATAATATGGCAAGGAATTCCAAGGATCTTCAGCTGGCTCAGTCAGGTAGGTCATCAGCACTTCATACAGCACCTCCGGAGAGCAAGACAATCCATCGAGGCACAGACAGTGAAAGGTGGACAAAAGTGTATTTACACTATTTACAGCAGAAAGGGGTCTTGAGACTATCTTGTCCTGGGTTAGATAACCCAGAGCCAAGAGCAGCCTCAACCACCAAACCTCCAAGCCTCCAATAGGCAGCCCTGACCCCCAATCTTTATTAATCGGTCTGCAAACCACCAACCCCAGACCTCCAAAGCTCCAAACCTCCAAAGGGGAAGGCTCTTCCCTTTCTTCCCCTCCTCCTCCACTGCAGGCCTCTCCACGCTCCATAGGCCTGGACTGCCCTGCTCTGGCAAGCTTTCCCCTCCTGCCGTCTCTCCTCCACTCCTTCTCTGCTGTCCCTAATGGTGATCCCCCTAGCTTCCCTCTACCTTCTCCTCTCCTCTCCTCCGGACTGAGGTTTTTCTCCTACTGCCCCAGCCTCGGAGCACGCAGCCTCTATATTATCTAGATAGGCTGTGTCCCACCCCTCCACCCCCCACTAACAGTTTCAATCCACCATTCACGCTCCTCCCCCAAGCTTCCCCCTCTCCAATCCCAATCGGCAGCTCACCATGTGGGCTCGATGACCCACCCCCTCCAGCGGCACACTCCGCCCCCTTTCCGCGGCACACTCCGCCCCCTTTCCGCGGCTTGGCCCGCCCCTTTCCTGGGCAGGGCTCTCCCCTCAGGCGTGCCCCGCGGGGCGGTGACGTCAGCCTCTCTAAGCCCTGCCCCTTCGCCTGGCCTGGTCTGTAGAGAGGTGAGGCTCGCCTCCTGATGCCCCGCCCCCTACAGCAGGCCGGGCCAGGGCGCCACACTATTGGGCCCCGCTGATATCCGGACCCTAAGGGTTATGACAACACAGCAATGCAACATATTTGTTCCTTTTATATGGAGAGGTGCTTAGGCTATCTCTCACATCACGAAGTGCTTCTGTCGTTGGAGTGTATTAGAAAACATTTGATCGTAGTAACTGAGACTGTGATGACTTAAAGGTGTCTTATCCTATTTTTTCAATTGGATTAGCAAAAGAGTGCAGGATTTACCCAAGCAAACAGGTTCCATACTAAATGAAATCCTGAAAAGAAAGCATTACTTACTTTTGAAGTGTTATGACATTGCAAGTATTTGCATATCAAACAAGAATCTAGGTAACAATGCAAATGAAAATAAGACTGAAGGATTATGAGAAAAATCTCAGTGTCTTCGCCGGGCACTGGTGGCTCATGCTTGCAGTCCTAGCTACTCAGGAGGCTGAGATCTGAGGATTACAACTTGAAGCCAATCCAGGCAGGAAAGTCCATGAAACTCTTACCTCCAAATAATCACGCAAAAGCATTAAGTGGGGCTGTGGCTCAAGTAGTAGAGTGCTAGCTTCAAGCAAAAAAAGCTCAGAGACAGCCCCTAGGCCCTGAGTTCAAGCCCTAGGACTGATACACACACACACACACACACACACACACACACACACACACACACACACACATCTCAATGTCTTTTTTCTGAGATTTGATAAGAGCCTCTTGGGTTTATCTGTGTAGGCTGGCTTTGAGCCATATTCCTTAGATCTCAGTCTCTTAAGTAGCTAGGAATTACAGGTGTGAGCCACTGGTGTCTGGCTTGCTGATAACTTTTATTGAATACAAATATTATACTTCTTACACCTTTTATACTATTAATGTCATACTTTATTAAATTTTTATTGTCTTTAAATAATTGTACAAAGGGGAGTCAATTCAACATGTTGATTGATGAGTACAATGCATCTTGATCAGTGTCACCCCTTCCATCATTCTCTCCCAATTTCTTCCAACCCCACCCATCCACTCAAGTTATCTGGCTGCATTTTCATGTTTGTACATTAAATATTATGGTTTTTATATTGTGTATTCATTTTTATATTTTATATGCAAAACATTTATATTTTATGGTATATCTATTCTTTATTGTGTAATAATTTATATAATATTTTTGCATTGTGTATTTATTAAGAAATTTCTGTAGATATAAGTGTTTTAATCCTTTTATTTTTCTAACTTGTATGCTAGAGTTAAAAGTCTACCAACTTTAGGATTACAGGTGTGAGCCATGGGTGCACGGTTTTTTGTTGTTGTGGTGTTAGTGGAGTTTGAATTTAGGACCTCGTGCTCTTGCTTAACTTTTTTGCCAAAAGCTGGTACTCTACCACATGAGCCACACTTCCACTTCCAGCCTTTTGCTAGTTAATTGGAGATAAAAACGTCTTGTTCCCTGCCGCTTACCCAGCCCCCCCCCCCCCCAGGGCTGGCTTCAAAACAGGATCCTCAGATCTCAGCCTCCTGAGCAGCTTGGATTACAGGTGTGGGCTGCTAGCTCTTTTTCTTCTCCTGTAAGGAGAAGGGGGTGTCCAGTCTTGGGGCCTGAACTCTGGGCCTGGGCACTGTCCCTCAGCTCTTCAGCTCAAGGCTAGTGCTCTACCACTTGAGCCACAGCGCCACTTCCAGCTTTTTTCTTATGGGATGCTGAGGAATCCAACCCAGGGCCTCATGCATGCAAGGCAAGCACTCTACCACTGAGCCACCTTCCCAGCCCCTGTAAGGCAAGTCTTAACAAGCTATTATATATGATGACGTCCTCAGCTTTTCAGGTATAAGAATGTTTTTATCTTGTTTCTGAAGGGTAATTGCCTAGGGTAGTGTTCTTGATTAACCATTATTTTTCTCTTTGACCACTTTGAATGTACCATTTACTCTGTCTATGCCAGTAAACTTTCTGCTGAGAAATCTGCCAATGACTCACACAGTCCACTGTATGTAGTAAGTCGCTTTCCTCTTCCTGATTTCAAAATTCTCTTTTCGTATTTTGAAAATTTGATGATAATATGTCTCTGTGCAATCTC